TTTGTTACATTAATAAATAAAGAAAAACAAAAGTCACGAATGAAAACAATGCACACAAAAAAAATTGGAACGGTGTAGCCCTACTTAAGCTATATGCTTGTATGACTCAAATTAAAAGCCTGGGCGCTCATATATGGAAAATATTTTCCTTTACATATGGAGTTCATTGATAAGTTTACGTTTCACAACATAATATAAGACCTATACTTAATTCTTATCGTTTTGCTTTTAATTTTAATCATACAAGTATATAGCTTTAGTAAGGTTACACCAAACTAAATTTAACTTTAACTTTATAATACTTTTATTCATTTTATTTACTAAACATTTAAATAACCTCTGCTTCATGCCACGTCTTAGCTTGTTGGAATAACTCATAGCACGCAATTTTAGACTCCGGTGCACTTTTGTAGATGCATGTTGCTGAAACAAAAGAATTTTTAAGAATTTAAAGATGTGCTTTGTCTGTGTTTTACTTATTTTTAAAGAAACAAGATTGATCCTTGAGGTACAACATGATTGAGTGTTTTGTTGCAAGTGACAAGTCCAAACGTCTAGAGTTCGAATTAATTGATAGTGTACAGGACGTTGTAAATAATATTAAGGACATTGCAATATTGCAAAGAGTTTTACTATTTTAGCTTAAAACACCATAATTTGAGATAGAATCGACATGACATGTTCACGATAATTACTTAATCACGAAATTATGTTTGATTGGGCGGGTATTTTTTTCTGGGATATTGCTGTTTTTATAAAGAGATAATGAAATATGAGTTTAATGAGTTTACATCATAATTCAAACAGATTACTATTGTTCTAGTGCTTTCTTAGGGTATTGTTGGTTTTCGGGGTGTTAGTGGTTTCAGAATGTGTATTGGGGGACTCTATTCAGTATCGGCGGTGTTGGCCCTCTGTCTATTTTCACAACCTCGTTGAGGTATTAGACCCGAAAGACGTATTTTTTCGATATTTGGGCAGGTGTTAAAGTTCAATAGAAGTAGCCTTTAACTCGCCCTTGTATTTAGATTAAAACTTTTCGTTGGGTTTATCATTAGAATTAAAAGACATAACTTAGTATTAAGGTACACCTTAACTAATTATTTATAAACTATCAAATATCAGTAAGTCAGTTTAATTTTTACTGAAAAATCAGTGGTATATTATGTATGCAAATGTATTTTATATATTTCAAAATACCTTGTGAATAAACTTGTGAGACAAAAGCTAACAAAGGCAAGATATAAATCTTCATTGTGATGATGGAGAAAATCGTCACTTGATTGTAATCTGATGATAAAAATATACTGTCTTTCATTAACATACACATCGATTATCAAAAGACAAAATTAGAACAGTAAAAGAAAATCAGACAGTTTAAATATAAATAAATAAGAAAATAATTTGTACTTTAAATTGCTGGTTACATTAGTTTTTTAAAGGAAGCAAGTTAACACATAGTGATTAAGAAAATGTTGATCTATTAATCATTGACGAATCGCTAATATACAGGTTTACTAAAGCAATCAACATCAATCAAACAGAACGCGGGAGAATTTCGACACTAACACGAAAATTGTAAGATTTGCAAGATCAACGTCAAAATATTTTCGTAAATTTACAAAAACATTCCGTCAATTATATTTGCTTAATTGATGTGTGCTTCTGATGCACATGTAATAAAAGTCTTAAGTATATTACCATACGATTAACATGTGTTGGCTTCTAGCTGTAAAGTAAAAACCGAAGCTGAAATCACATCCTTTTATAATGAATTAAAACGACATTTAAAAAAACTGAGTATGCTTTTTTCCCCCCGTAAAACTTCAAATCCAGTTATTCAAGGCTTATCTTAATTTTAGTTAGTACTGAACAAAATTAAACTATTGAATATTGCAATGCTAACAAACAATGAACATTCCCTCCACGCTTTTACCTTCCGTCTTGCCTTTCACTGCTAATAGAAGCGACCAGGCAAAAATAAATCCTTATCACAGGAAACAACATCAAGAACAAATCCGTTACGCAGAGATAAGTAAAGGGTTTTGCTATCTTTTTACCATCATATAGTCTGTGTAATGATAAAGATTGGGAATAAGTTATATTCAAAGAAAAATACATTTTAACCTTTCATTAACACGAACAATTACTCACTCATGCACACTTCATTAAAAAAAAACTAGCACACATAACATACAGTAATACACGCACGTATGCAAATATTCAAACACCCACCCTGAAAGAACATACACACATAATTGTGAATTGTAAAAACACCACACGCTAAAATAAACCGGTAGTGATCTCCCCTAAACTTTCTCGAATATTCTTATATAAAACAACAGGGGATGGTAACTGGGGATATAGTTATGATCGTTAATCCATTTTAAATACTGAAACTTTTAAAAATAGAATAGAATCTCAGTAAAAAACAATTGCGCACCAAGCGAACGCCTAATAAAGGTGTGTATAATAGTGCGCAATAGTATTAGTACTTTATAAATTTACATTAGTTTTTTGAGAAATCGGAAGTAGCGTAAAGTACTACTTCCGGTCAACGGAAATTACTCAAAATTTAACAGAAGGTAGAGAATTAGATCTTTTACTTACATGTGAAATTTCATTTATCTATCTGAAATAGTACTCAAGTTATAGGCTTTTGAAAAATTCAAAGTAGAAAAAGTACCACTTCCGGTTATCCGAAATCGCTCAAAAGTTGATACGGATCTACGATTTTGATATAATACTTGTATATGAAATTTCATCAACCTAGCTGTAACGGTACTCAAGTTATCGTGTTTACACACGGACACACACACACACGGACACACAGACATACGGACAAGATTGCAAAATTATGTTTTTCCGTATCAGTGAGATGTAAAACGTCGAGATTTGCAAAAATCTCGATTTTTTTTTTTTGCACGATTACAAGACTTTCTCTATACTTCGTATATACGAGAAAGTAAAAAAACCACATAAAAACACACAATTGCAATTGCCATGTTAAATATTTTTTATTTTATTTTGCATAAGGCTCGGGCTTTATATGAGGAATTAAAAGAAAAGATGTATATAGTTTTTTGTGACACCTTATGTTCTTTAAGTAGTACATATGCAATGTCACTCGGGCTCAACTTTCTTCCCCTTGTGAGAACGTAGAAGGTGGTCTTCATATGTGTGCGTGTAGTCCTGACCTCAGGATGTCGGTTAGCACAAAAATTGTAATCGCAGCAATATTTGCAAGCACCACAAAAAAGTGTTGGAGGAAACTATGGCATTTGAGTTTGATACAAATTCTCTGAGAATAACAGCATTGTTTCAAGCTATTGGCAGAAGAGTTGACTGCATTTATCCATTTGTCATTTATATGGTGTAAGTTTATTGAAAGCGTTTCCTTTGAAAAAAAATTTTTTTTAGAGTATTCTATTATGAAGACAACGGTAGTCAGGTTAACATATATATTCTTAAAGAGGTCGGGTGTATGAAAGTATGACATCATACTCTTTTTTTTTGCATTAGTGTTTTAAATCTAAATTTTATCAGTTATTTCATATTATTCGAAAATCATTATTGGTTTAGAAATAATTATAATACAAATTGAACGATTTTCCTGGGTGATGTGATTAAACGTTCTGTGTTAACATTTCCAAGCAGCTAATAAAATGTTTTAGTGTGGGAAAGGAAAGCTGAGGTGTGAGGTCATTTGGTGGTGGTGGGGGTGCGCCTGATATTGTGTGAAATGGTATGGGGTTGGTGGTTGAGGGTACAACATCGGCAAATAAATCTTCACGTGTTTTATTAAAGACACCAATGGATTTAACATTGACAATGACCGCTTCAAATAATACGCAAAAGTTAGACTTTCCTAATGTCTTTAACAGCAATTAGGTGCCGATGTGTGCTTTTGTTATGTAATGTGTCTGTCTACTTACGAGCTAATGTTTTGTAGCTTAGTTATAAAATGGTATAGTAAAATACTATATTTTTAATTAATATTGGTGTATCTGACCCAGATTTTAACAGCAGTTAGGTGCCGAAGTGTGGTTTTGTTCTGTAATACGTCTGTCTACTTACAAGCTAATGTTTTGTAACGTAGTTTTAAAATTGCATAGTAATCTGACCCAGATGTTACTTCCTGTCACTTTACAACATCAAGTCTAGTATAAGCTGGGCGTTGTGGGTGAGGTCATTTAGAAGACGACATGCTGTCTGTACGACTCTACTCACCTTGAGCTAGTAGGTGTAGAGACTCTTCCCAGTGCCCCGGGACAAACTTTCAATTTGGCGCCAGCATCGGGAACAACCTTTCAATTTGCAATTTGCACCCCCCCCACCCCCTCAAGCTTTCAACTTGCACCCCTCCCCCATATATTTTTTAAAATATTTATAATGCAAAACTGCAGCGAAAATAAGGTTTTGATTTTTTTACAACCCATTTTGGCGCCCCCTAAGGTTGGCGCCCGGGTACATATGTACCCCCCCCCCCCGCCCCCCCTCGCTACGCCTCTGCTTGGGCTAGCTAATGTCAAGTCAAGATGTGCCACTCTCAACCTAAGAGAAAGTCGTCGCATCTAATTGCTAAACAATGGAAGTCGCGTCCACTTAAGATTAATTCGAATGATAAGGGTTCCAATAACTTCCTTTTTACAAGCTTTTATTTAACTCACTTCCTCTGGCGTCAGTTATCAGTCTGTTTAAGCAATGTTCTGTCTTCCTTCTTCTGCTGACGCACCTTTATCTTTGTGCATTTTTCCTTGCTCCTTTTTCTTAATTAACATATTGTCATTTTCGCTATGTTAATTTTGTTTTGTTTCGTCTATACCTTCCAAACTCGCTGTTCCTATAACCGCTGGTTAACGTTTGTTTTTTTTTTGTTTTTTCATTTTTTTATTTAATTACGGCATTATTTTAAATTAAAAATAATGAACCAACAAATATTGTATCGAAAAACGTGTAAAAATAAAAACGTCATTCCTTGAAATTTGTTTTTATTTTTAAAAAAAAATAGATTTGTCTTATGATAGTTCTTGAAGATTTAATTAATGTATAATAAAAAAAAACAGAAAAGATTTCATTAGAATCATTTTGAAACTAAACTTACCCTTGAACTAAAGCTTTTTTTTTTACTTATATAGATATTATAAAATATTATAAAAAGATTTTATTTATGTACTTTTCATTGTGGTTTTAAAAAAAACTGTTTCATTACAAAACACAACAATTACCTTTAAAAAATCTATAATTAGTTGTTAATTAAATGGTTTTAAAAAATATGAAAGATTTTTAATAATTAGCAATTAGTATTTATATTGTTGATTTTTTTTAAATATTGACTTTGGACTTATTCAAGCTAAACTAGCTAACGCACAGTGTATTATATTTACGTTGGCAATATGGTCTAATTGTTTTAGTAATACAATAATGTTTAATTGCATGTTATTTAACTATGATTAGTTTATGAAAAGTTAAGAGTAATACTAAAATAATATTTTGTTACACAGAAAAGACATTTTTGAGCTCTCTTCTCATTGATGTATGACTTGACCTACGCGTTAAGGCAATCCATAATACAAAACGGCTTGTTGCCATTCTTCTTCTGATCCGGGGTCGGGACATCTTAAATAAAAGAAGAAAAAAAAGTATTATAGAAAAAAATCTTCACACTAAACTTTATTCCTATATGGTATACTAGTAAATTTATGTTGTTTATGTATAACCGTATTAATAATTCACGCGTACGCCTTGCTAAGTATTATGACATTGACAATTCTCTCCAGCTTGATATGCTTTGGGTAATTTACCTAAGCTAATTCCATAAAGTTACAAGACAGTGATAAGTCGCTATCAAATGACAATTTGTTTTTTGGCTAACACATTTCTGGTGCATCTTGCATGTTTAATTATAAAAGACATATGGGAATCCAAGCTCAAGATCCGGGCAGTAAGATGAGAAGGGCAAGATGTTTCCCATGTATCAGGCCCCATTTCTCCACATAGTTGATAAACCATCGGAATAGAGGCTATTCGGATCATTATCTTTTTCCTATTCTTGCTCAAGACACAAGGGGTAGTTGAAGCAGAATTTATCTGTTTTAGATACCTCGGCATATGACATCAGGATATAGTGTGGTCAGCATTATGCCCAGCCGCCTTTACTTTCCCTAACGTGAGTTAGGTACCGCTTACAGCTGGGTGTACTGAATTGAACTTGGATTCGAACACACATCAGTTTGGTTAGGCACATAGCTCGCTACCGCTAGTTCATGACGTCCCATTTCGGACACATGCAAAATAACATAAAATAACATAAAATAACCTTAAAGTATAAGGACGTATGGAAATGGCTTTAGAAAATACCTAAGCACATTTTGTTGAACACCACATCACTTGCGAGTACATAATTCATGAGATATCCGGTTTTCCTCTGTTCCCAATGACAATTTTCGACATCGAAGAGGATTGCTTGTATGCAGCTCACGTACTCAGAGGCTTCTCTAATAAAAGAAAAACAATACTTTCATTATGTTCGCCGTAGACCTTTAGATATTTTACAACAAACTCATATTCATCCCACTCCCCACCTTAAACCCGGTCTTTCTAACTATAGCTTATATCTATCATGTCTCTTTATAAAATGTATTTTACTCGAAAAATATACCGGTAGTTATCTCCCCTAAACTTTCCCGAATATTTTAGTATAAAACTACGAGGGATGGCAACTCAGGACAATGTTTGTAATCCATTTTTAATTACTTAAACTTTTTATAACGGAAATTACTCAAAATTTGACAGAAGGTAGAAAATTAGATCTTTTACTTACATGTGAAATTTCATTTATCTATCTGAAATAGTACTCAAGTTATAGGCTTTTGAAAAATTCAAAGTAGAAAAAGTACCACTTCCGGTTATCGGAAATCACTCAAAAGTTGATACGGATCTACGATTTTGATAAAATACTTAAATATGAAATTTCATCAAATTAGCTGTAACGGTACTCAAGTAATCGTGTTTACACACAGACACACACAGACACACAGACACACAAACACACACACAGACACACAGACACACAGACATACGGACAAGATTGCAAAATTATGTTTTTCCGTATCAGTGAGGTGTAAAACGTCGAGATTTGTAAAAATCTCGATTTCTTTTTTTGCACGATTACAATACTTTCTCTATACTTCGTATATGCGAGAAAGTAAAAATATATTTACTATAATAATTACAAATTTTGTTAATTTTGTCAAAAACATCCAATCTAAAAAGACTTTACAGCTTTCTTTGACTCACTCGCAGAAAGATGTGGAGTTGATGAAGGGATAAACGCAGGAGTTCAAATCACATTTTCCACCACTTGTTGTCGTTCCTGGAAACAAATTAATTTTAATTTTTGATGTCATTTCTTTTAAAACAACCATTTTGAGATCTTTATAAAGAAAAATGTATCTCTATAATTGTAAACTCTTACTATTGCAGCCCAATTTTTGCAAGTCTCTGTTTGTCTCCATTATCAGGACTTCGGCTAAAGATTTGTGTATGATGTTGCAGTTTTTATGTATCACGTTATTAGTGAGACATCTGATGTATATCAAACCCTGACTGTACAAAAGAAAAAAAATGCAATGGTATGCAATGCTGTTTTATGGAATGCAATTTTATGCAATCCAATGCAATGCACAGCAAATTCATTGCATTTTATGCAATGCAATGAAATTAAAATAAATGCAATGCAATGCGATGCGATGCGATGCGATGCAATAATCAATTTTATTTTCTCGTATACGAAGTAGGCCTATAGAGAAAGTATTGTAATGGTGCAAAAAAATCTAGATGTTTGCAAATCTCGACGTTTTACACCTCTCTTAGTAGGAAAAAATCATTTTGCAATCTTGTCCGTATGTATGTGTGTGTGTATGTGTGTATATGTGTAAGTGTGTATGTGTGTCTGTAAACACGATAACTTGAGTGCCGTTACAGCTGGGTTGATGAAATTTCATATACAAGTATTATATCAACTTTGTAGTTCTGTGTCAACTTTTCAGCAATTTCCGGTAAACAGAAATGCCACTTATTCTACTTTAAATTTTTAAGAGCCTATAACTTGAGTACTGTTTAAGATAGATAAATCAACTTTCACATGTAAGTGAAAGATTTAACTTTCTGCCTTTTGTTTAACTTTGAGTAATTTCCGTTGACCTAAGTAGTAATTTACGCTATTTCCGATTTTTCAAGAAACGCATGTGAATGTATCTATATACTACTAAAACTCGAGTTTGTTTATTGTTTGATTATTTTTTTGTTTTTGTTTTTTTGTTTGTCCGTTTTGTTACAGGAGAGAATCTGCACTATCTGTAGAGCTGTATAATACGTAATTAGGTAGAAAATTTTTTTTTTAAACAAACTTTTAATCACAAATTAATTTATAGATGCTAATTAATGTATTGATATATTCATTGGTAGATCAACCACATTACTGGTAAAATTTCAGAACAATGACTTTACCTATAGAGACGTCACATGATTTATTTTTACTTTTTATAACAATAATGGCAGCTTCCATCGAAGATTGTGGTGCCTATTCAAAAGTTAAACGCGTTATAAAACTAATTTTCTGTCGGCTATAGCTTTAAAGATACGTCCGTTTGCTATTTTTATTAGAATCCAACACTATTTACAATTTACAACAGTTCTTTTAGTATACAATTAATTTCTCTAGATCCAGAATTCTACAAATCAGCTGTCGAAGGAAGAAAAATTTATAGATCTAGAATTAAGTAGTTACGAGTCAAGATATCTAAGATATTAATGTATTAGGTTCCCATGCGAGTGGCATGGGTTCGAGACAAGTCATGTCAATGTTAATGATTTTTGTCCAATTTTTTTTAGATGTGAATAATAAGCTTCTTATTGGAACCTAGCGGGATAAAATGCAGGTAAAGTAGTTTTCATCTGTTTCTTTGTCCTCAGCATATACGTGGATAGTGTGGTCAGAGCCATACTCGGCCGGAATATTTTTTAAACGATGAAAACATGTTATCTGCGACTTGGCGGGACACTAGGCAGGTGAAGTAGAGCTGGGTAGGTGTAGAGTTCAACTGTGACGTCAGCATATGAAGGGATAGTGTGGTCAGGCCCATGCTCAGTCAAAATCGGTGTTTTTAAAAGACAAAAACGTCTGAGGTGTATCGTCTTTTTGAATGTGGGGTCTGGTTATTTAGTGATGATAATTGACAGGCGTGATTTCATTTATGGATGACACCCAAAACCCAAAGGTATTCAATGATAACGAGTAGTCTAGTAAAGCACTAATAATATTCAATACTATTATACACAGATTTTTTGCCGTTCATGGTGCGCAATTTCTTTCTATTCTATTTTAAAAAGTTTAAGTAATAAAACATGGATTAAAAAATCATGTCTATATCCCGAGCTGCCTTTCCCGTAGTGTTGAATAAGAATATTCCAAAAAGGTTAGGGGAGATCACGCCCGGTTTATTTTAAAATTATACACACCTGCAAGAATATTTTTCTGGTATATGACAAGCTTGAACGTCGCAATAAGCTACAGTATATATATTTATTGTGTATATGTAGGCTATATATATATATATATATATATATATATATATATATATATATATATATATATATATATATATATATATATATATATATATATATATATATATATATATATATATATATATATATATATATATATATATATATATATATATATATATATATATATATATATATATATATATATATATATATATATATATATATATATATATATATATATATATAATGTATTTGATAAGAACGTTAGGCTACCAATACTTGATCCTGCCAAAACAAATGCACAGAAGTGTAAAAAATCATGCTCGTAACAATAAATAATCATATCAATACAGCGGCTTTTGACATACTGCCAAAGTATAAGCACAGTAGTATATATATATATATATATATATATATATATATATATATATATATATATATATATATATATATATATATATATATATATATATATATATATATATATATATATATATATATATAAAGCAATGTATGTGTGTTTGTGTGTTTGTGTGTTTGTCCTTTATGCATTACTACACCTCTCATCACATCGCCGTGAAACTTTGGGAAGTTGTTGAGAATATTCCTGGGGAGGTTTCTGCGAAAAACAAATTTCAAATTCGCAGGGGTGGCGCCCCGGCAGAGCGCGATTTGTTTTTCTCTATATACGGTATATAAAAATAAAAAGTCAATTTTGGTTTGACATCGTTCATCTGATAGCCATTAGACTTTGGGGAGTTCATAATAACACTCTAGGGAAGGGTTCTGTAAAAAAAAATCATTTTTAATATCACAAGGGCGGCGCCACGGGAGGGTCCGATTTTTCTCTATATACGGTATATAAAAATAATAAAAGTGAATTGCAGTGACATCGTTCACACGATCGCCATCAAACTTTGGGAATATGTTGAGAATGTTCCTGGGGAGGATTCTGCTTAAAATACATTTTCAAATTCGCAGGGGTGGCGCTCAGGTATGGCGCGATTTGCTTTCTCTCTATAAACGGTATATAAAAAATAAGAGTCGATTGCAGATTCACACTGTTCATCCAATCACCGTCAAACTTTGGTTAGTTTATTAGAGCATTTCAGGGAATGGTTCTGTAAAAAAAATCCTTTTTAATTTCTCAAGGGCGGCGCCACGGGAGGTTGCGATTTTTCACCATATACGGTTTATAAAAATAAAACTCGAATGCGGTTCATCTGAGTGCCATAAAACTTTGGAAAGTAGATGAGAATACTCTCGAGAATATTTCTGTGAAAAAAACACCTAAAATTTCTTATGGGCGGCGCCAAGGAGGGTACAATTTTCGTCAACAACGGTTTGGCGCCCAGAGTTTTAGAGCGACTATGTTGGCACTTGGCATCCGTTAATCGAGCGTCCTGCATAGCGAGTAAGGTGTACTACTATATTCAGCGGTAAAACTACAACAGGCTTCTAAAAATAACTTTGTAACGCGAAGGAAATCCTTCTGTCCGTTTTCGTCACCTTGCGAAAGATGAAAAAATAACTTTTTGAGAGCCTACTGTAGAGTTTCGTCACTTTGAGAATGATGCAATAAGCATCTACTATTAGACAATCCAGTCAGAAATTGAGATCGAGCATCTAATAATAGACCATTAGTAACGCTAGCATATTGCATCAGTCACACTGATGTTTAAAACACGTCAAATACGTTTTTAAGTGTTAAAGAAAAAAAAGCCTGTTCATTTGTGGCACTTTAGCGAATGATGAAATCTGCATCATTATTAACAGGATGCTATTTGGCACGATGGCGCCTATTACTTTTAAGGAGCCAGGGGTCGTACGCCGCGCCTATGCGGTAGTGTAATCGGGGGGAGGGGGGGTGGGGGCCCTGAGAACGCCCCTCTACGCTCTGACACAGAAGCGGTCACCGAAGTGTGTTACCAAATTATTTCGGTGAGTGATTAATGTACACTCAAGGTTTTCATGCCGTAGTGTAGGTAAACCCGTGTCCTGATATTTATGATCCAACAACAGGCATTGTTTACATTTAAATAACTCATTTTTAGAAAAGAAGGTCACGCGTCTAAGAACATATAATTATAATTGATAACGCGTTGGTGAAATCCTAATATATTTCGTCAAACTTTCTTCTATCCCCGCGGCAACGCGCGGGGATCGGGTACGCTAGTATTTATATATATATACATATAAAATTATGCTTTTATGCAAATACAATAAGACAAAGTTAACATTATGTCATAATGGTGCATTCAGAATTGTGTATATTAAACAGTATTAAGCAATTGACTGATGATCAATATCATCTACTTTTAAAAATGCTTATTTAATAATTTATGTATTTTAGTAATTGAGTTTTAAGTAATTGAATTTAACTATTAAATTACCAGTTTTAGTTAACGCTTCAGCTTGCGACCATGCAGTCATAGATACAAGTGCTAGAAATGAATCAAATATATATATATATATATATATATATATATATATATATATATATATATATATATATATATATATATATGTGTGTTTTTATGTGTGTGTGTTTGTTTGATTGTGTGTGTGTGTTGTGTGTGTATAGTCTACAAACGAGAAGAACAATTTTAAAAAATTAAACGAAGCCGCGTAGAGTGCACCTAAACTATCAAATGTAGTTAACTAACATTAGTGAACAGTAAAGGCTGCTTGGCATATGGCTGACCACGCTCCTTATGTAATAAGCTCCAGGCCAGAGTAGAAAATAAACTCTACTTCACCTCCGTTCGTCTGGCATGAGAGTGGCACCTGTACTTCACAGATTCTACCTGCTGTACATTTAATTCTAAATCGTTGTGTACCTATCAACAAGCTGCTGTGTTGATATTTAACGGATATTTAATGACATAGTTTCCACTTAAAAGTAAATTCGTATTTTCTTTTAACTTACCTACAATAGCTAGGTAAATGCCAGAAGTTTTCATTTTAGAAATGTTTAACAGTATCCAACAGATCTTGTTTGCTATTAGAAAATATTTTTCAAAGCCTCATAAAAAGTTATATTATTTCTTTCAGCAACTCGTCCCGACTGATATTATTATATTTAAATAGCAATATATTTAAAACGTCAATTTTGAAATATATATCCCATTAACAGACAAAAAAAATCTTAAATCCTGTTAAAACAAAATATTTTTTGTCTGATATATCTTGCTTGAGTAGATTTGTCAAATATATGATGACAACTTTTGCCTTGAGATATTTTTGTCATTTGAAAGAAAGTGTGCATATGTGTCTGTGTTTGAGATAGTAAGAGCGCGCGCGAGAGAGAGAGAGAGAGATAGAGAGAGAGAGAGAGAGACATTTGTGGGAATATAACTCAAATCATACTGGAAAACAAGCAAGTAACTTTAACTAAACCCCATTAAAAATGTACGTGTATTAATCCAACGTGCAAGATAACCAGTGTAAACAATGAATGGTTAAAGCGACATACCTTCAGTAGAGGAGCAGCAAAACCAAGGTAGCAAACTGGCCCCCAAATGCGGCTTTTATGTTTTTAAACTGTGATTAAGACATCACATGATTTCACGTTGGTTCAGTAGTTCTCAAACAGTTCAACCAGTCTTTACTTGTAGTTTTAGTTTATTCTTTGCCAACACACAAGCATGTACACACTGCATACACACAAGTGGCACACATTTCAGAAAATAAGACTTATTTTTACAGTGAAGTTGAGAAAATTATATGGTTAAATATAGGACTAGGGTGGTTAGTTATTGGGTAAAATTTCAACTTAATACATCCAGACTAGTTGAAAACAAAGTAGCTGTTTGGAAAATAAAATGGATAGAGGCATTATCTAAAAACTTAGGAACCACTGGCAATTAGGATCTGGGTTATGAAGTCTCACCAGTAATCCCTTACAGCCAGCTATCGCTGAAAAGGTTTTCAGATATCAAAATCATTAAAGCTAGATCAGTGTTTCTCAACCTGGGCTCGATCGAACCCCAGGGGTTCGGTGAAACAGTTCCAGGGTTTTGACGAAAGTAAAACACACACCCGACTCCTATGATTCATAGTCAGATTTCGTGAGTGAGGACGATACAACGTTTAATTGAGTTGAATGAAATAGCATTTGGAAGGGGTGGATTTCGGTTCATTCGAAAGGGTTAAGAACCACTGCTATAGATTCTTAAAATCGCAACCAATACAACCATAACTTATCGCACAGGCTTAACGTGTTTTCCTGCCAAATACTAATACCTTAAATTCAACATCTTAATTTTTTGTAGGATTACATTAACAAACAAATAGTGGAAGATCGATAAAGGTCATTTGTCTATCAGCAAATAAAACTATGTTGAGCTCTGTCTTAAGTAAAGATTTTTTTATCTATCACACCTTTATTTCAGCTAGGATAGGCTTGTCTTACCGCATCTTCGATATAGCTAATACTGGCTACGGCTAATCCTCTAATGGGCCGTATTTCTAAGAAAGCGCCGGTAGGTGGCGCCACACAGAAATAGGTTAGCAACCAAGCGACGCGTTGAGCGTCCCTTTCCATTTTCTTAAAGCGATAACGCGAAAGATGGAGAAAGTCAGCTTCGGAAAAATGAATTAAGTTCAACTTAAAGAAGAATGCCGAAGAAGAGGAGCAAAAATAAGTGGAAGAAAAAGAGATCTTGTAGAAAGGCAACGGTTTAATATTTGTTGATTGATTTTGCTTGTTAGATTTCATTTTAAAAAGAAGTTGCTAGTCCTAGTGACTAGACTAGATCTAGATAGAGAATCTAGGCCCTGCTTTAATTTTAATTTATTATTTATTATTTAGTAAAGAAAATGCGTCATGGTCGTGTCAGTAATCTAAATTCTAAATGAATAATCAGATAGCCTAATTAAATAGCAGTGTAACTGACAGTATTAACTTAAAAGGCTAATTTTATTTTTTCTTTGTATAAGCCAATGTTAACATTAACAATTGCCAATGCCACGGTACACCTTTGCACTTCATATATTCTGACTTTTAGTTTGGAATCTTATGTAAAAAACAGCAACTTTGGCAGAAAGGAAACGTTGCAGCCCGAGTTTCAAATGAACATCCCAGATATTTTGTACTGTGATTTAAACACTGACTCAGTTTTACCGGACTTATTCACGATTCCTTACTTGGAATCATGTAATGCATCTCTAACCCAAATTGCAAAATCTATGTACCACGAAATGTATGCTGAATGATTGGTTGGGCTTAAGATTTAATTAGTGATTCAAGTCTTTATTTTTTTTTATTGCTACACTTGCAATAACTATAAATGAATACTCTTTTTTTATTCACAGATATGTTGTATACCTTCAGGCAACGAGTGGCCAATAGTTTAATTTATTTGAGGGCACAAGTCATGTCTCAGATTTAAAAAATCCACTAATTAGTGGACATTATGGTGGTCATGGATGGTGTGTTTTTGGAGGCACAATGTGAGTGTGCAGCAGGCATGGGACCACATGCCCCCCGCTCAAACTTTCGATTTGCCCCCACCCCCCCCCCCACCTCAAACTTTCGATTTGCAACCCCCCTTTAAGTTTTTCTCTATATATTTTGCTATTTTTTGCCTTGGTGTCACCCCCCTAAATGGTGTCACCCGGTGTGGTCCGCACCCTCGCCCCCCCCCCCTCGCTACGCCACTGGGTGTTGGGTAGGGTTTCAAGTTAAGGTTAAGGTTCAGTTACTGTTATAGGATTACGCTTAGGTTTAAGTTAAGATTCAGGTTGACTAGAGTTTAGGTTCTGTTTGATTTTCGGTTTTAAATTTAGAATTGAGGCTAAGGTTAATGTTTAGTTACCATTTCAGGATAAGGTTACTGTTAGTGTTCAGTTTATTGCCAAAACACGGGTTCGAGTCCGGGTTCTTGTTCAGGTTGATGCTGATAATGGTATTGAGGTTAATGTCAATGTCAATGTCGATTTAAAATTCTTGTTATAAAAGTTTTGACAAAAAATATTTTAATGATTATTAATTGTTTGTTATTTTTTAATGAGATCCGAGAATTAGAAGTCAACCGGCAAATATAGTCTTAAGTCTACCTGTTGTGGTTTGCATTAGTTATGACAGAGTCCAGTGACACGAACTAAGTTTGAACAATGAACTTTTTCCTAGAGTTAGATACCTGCGTATCCTCTGCAAATTCGTCATGGAATCTTTTCCGTTTGTATACCCTGACCTGCTTATACTCCATAAGAATATCACATTTCTCAGCAAGCTCAGTGGCTTCGTTTTCAATCTGCTCAAATTCTGATTAGAATTCGTCTCTTTAGCTACTCATCTCATTTTCAAAAATCATAATTAATCGAAAAGCTGTTAACATATCAAGGCTACTCTTTTGTAAATAAAAGGATAAGTTAAAAGCCTTATGCAGAATTCTTTTCCAGAATATTAAAACAACTAAAAACACAAAAGTCTCCATTGTCACAAGAATTCCCTTTCTTTCGGCAATATGCTTAAAAGTAGAGTTTTTAACTTCACCGTCAACTATTCTTCGCAATACACGAACAAGTGCTGGTAAATTCTGCAATATAGAATCTACTGTTGTCTTTATAGAAGCCCATCTTGTACTACTAAGTCGTTTCAATGTTAATGAAAATGATTCTATGTTATTGCATTGCTTCTCTTTCAATATTGAAAGACGAGGTAGACTTCCAGTTTAAAAAAATGTATAAATGCTTTCGCAACAACTAAAAAAAAGCTGTTTGCATATACGATTAAATGGCATCTTTGAGGATTATACTTAAATTATGAGCACAGCATTGTATACGGAGTTCATTTGGAGCTACTTCTCTAACTCTATTTTGTAGGCCTGATATTTCACCAGACATGGTGTTGACTCCATCGTAGGACTAACCATAACACAGGGTCATTGACAGACCTAAATATGTGACTTCTGTAAGAGGATTTTTGAAAAAAAAAGCCGCACTAGCTTCAGGATATTTAATAAATCTTTCGATGGCGTCTCCATGTTCAGTAACATATCTGATAGACAAAGAAAATTGATCCATTCTACTAATTCTGTCGATAGTTGAATCTACAATCACAGCGAAATACCTATCTTTATGAATTATGAATTTCACCTATGCTGGTTAACGTTTTTTCCTGTTTTTTATTTAAATACGGCATTATTTTAAATTTAAAAAAAAATGAACCAACAAGTATTGTTGGGGGTCATCCATAAATGACGTCACGCTTTTTTGACGATTTTTACCTCCCCCCCCCCCTCCCCTCCGTCACACGTCGTCACAAAAAGCCAGACCCCCCCCCTAAAATGACGTCACACCTCAACCTACAACCCCCCTCAAAATTGCAGTTGAATTTTTTTAAAACATCGATATTTTTCCAAAATCTTGTCTAAACTATTACAATTTATTAAAACAGTTATCTAAAACGCGAAATAACGTCTAAAATTCGTTTTCTAACATTGCTTTTTTATAATGCAAAAATGTGACGTCGCAACATCTGAACCCCCACCCCTCCCCCTCATCACACATCGTCACAAAATTACGGACCCCCCCTCCCCCCTACGAGTGTGACGTCATTTATGGATAACCCCTTGTATCAAAAACGTGTAAACATAAAAACGTCATTCCTTGACAGTTGTTTATGTAAAAGAAAATAGTTTTGCTACATAATAATTCTTGAAATTTTAATTAATGTACAATCAAAAACAGGTCATAAAAGATTTCATTAGTATAATTTTGAAACTTAACTAACACATTTTTCTTTATGTAGATTTTATAACATGTCTTAAAAGGATTTTCTTTATGTATTTTTCATACCAGTTTTTCAAAAAAACTGTTTCATGACAAGACACAACCATAACTTTAAAAAATAAAAATATAATTAATGGTTATTTAAATTCGTTTAACTAATTTGAAAGATCTTGAATAATTAGCAACCAGTAACAAATTATTTTGATAAATAATATAAATTTTTTAATTATATTTACGGACAACCTTAAAAATATTGACTTTTTACTTTTTCAAGCTAAACTAGCTAATTCTCAGTTTATTCCTATATTTTTATATTACATTTTCTTTGGAAGTATTGTCCAATTATTTTAATAATACAATAATGTTTAATTCCGTTGTGTTTAACTATGATTAGTGTATGAAAAGTTAAGAGTAATACTAACTTTTTATTTTACTACACAGAAAATACATATTTTGAGCTTTCTTCTCATTGATGTATGAGTTGACCTACTCGTTACGGCATTTCGTAATACAAAACGGCATGTTGCCATTCTTCTTCTGATCCGGAACACCTTAAATAAAAAATAATAAATACATAAAAAAGGACATAAAAAGAAATCTTTACACTCAAAGATATTCATGTATGGAGTACTTGTAAATTATGTTGTTTATGTCTAAATTTAAATCGCTACCAGATGATAGCCATATAAATTATTATGACATTGACAACCCTGTCTAGCGGGATATGCTTTGGGGAATTTACCTAAGCTGATTCTATGAAGCTCCAAAACTGTGTTAAGTCGCTATCAGATGACATTTTTTTGTGGCTAACATGTTTGTGGCACACCTTGCATGTTTAATTATAATACATGCCTGTTCTGGTTAAGCCAAGGTGAGTATCATCCCTCCCAAACATGGTAATGGCTCCATAGTCTAATAGACCATTGGGAATCCACGCACAGGTTCTGGGCAGTAAGATAATAAGGGCCAGATGTTTCCCATGTATCAGGCCCTCCATTTCTCCACATAGTTGATAAATCCTCGGGATAGGGGCAATTCATCTTTTCCTATCCTTGCACAAGGGGTAGTTGAAGTAGAACTAATCTGGTTTAGATACCACTGCATATGATATCAGAATATAGTGTGGTCAGCACTATGCTCAGCCGCCTTTAATTTCCCTAACGTGAGTTAGGTACGCTTACAGCTGGGTGGACTCAGACCCATTCTACTGAATTGAACCTGGATTCGAACACGCATCATTTAGGTTAGCCACATAGCTCGCTACCGCTAGTTCGTGACGTCCCATTTCGGACACATGCAAAATAGCATTAAATAAACTTAAAGTATAAGGACGTATGGCAATGGCTTTAGAAAATACCTAAGCACTTTTGGTTGAACACCACTTCATGTGCGAGTAAATAACTCATGAGATACCCGTCTTTCGTTTGTTCCCAATGACAGTTGTCGACATCGAAGAGGATTGCTTGTATGCAGTTCACGTACTCAGAGGCTTCTCTAGTAAAAGAAAAACAATTATTTCAGTTGATCTCCGTAGACCCTTAGATATTTTACAACGAATATATATTTGAGTTTTCACCCCCTCCTTCCCCGAATCCTGTCTTTCTAACAAAAGCTTAAATCTAAAATGTATTTTAGTCGAAAACATCCAATCTAAAAAGACTTTAGAGCTTTGTTTGACTCACTCGCAGAAAGATGTGGAGTTGATGAGGGGATATTTGCAAGAGTCCAAATCACATGTTCCACCATTTGCAGTTATTTCTGACAACGAATCTATCATATTTTATTAACATCATTTATTTTACAACAACCATTTTGTAATATTTATAACTAAAACGTTATCCCTATAAATTTAATCTCTTACGTTTGCAATGCTTTTTCTTCATGTTAACTTTGGTAGCTGCTCTCAGGCTTTTGGCCTTATTTTGTTTTTTTAGTCCGCAATGTTTAGTGATCACATTATCAGTCAGACATTGGATGTATTTCTCAGCCAGACTGTAAAAAGAAAAAAAAATGCAATGCAATGCCAATACCATTGGAAATGGAAATACCAATACAAATACCAACGCCAATGCCAATGCCAAAGTTATTTTTAACACGTTTTTCTTAACTCAGCTTCGCGTTTGTTTGTTTGTTTGTTGTTAAAATTGACATCGAAAATTAGCCCACTTCTGATTGCTCTAGAGACCTGAAATTTGGCATGCATGCTACTTTCGCCTAACAATTTCAGATGCAATCATAAAAACTAGCAATTAGTGACCGTAATTAGCTTAATTTAATTACGCCCCAAGGACCATAAAATTGAGGACATGATTTCTAAAGATACCGACAAGACTTGAGGCCTATTGACACAGTTACTTCGGCCCCAATCGATGTGAGCGCGCTGGCCGTGATCGTATAGTGGTTAGTACTTCGCGTTGTGGCCGCGACAACCCAGGTTCGAATCCTGGTCGCTCAAGATTTTTAGTCCGTGTATTTATAAACACTTTTTTAAAAACCACGTTTTTCATGTGTAGCAACGGACTAAAAAGGAGAAAATAAAATACTTAAAAAAAACTTTTTAAAAAACCACGTTTTTTATGTGTAGCAACGGACTAAAAAGGAGAACGGACACGGTAACACATTGTTAACGGTGACACGGTTGGTACGCTGGGCATGCTAAAATACACATAAACACGTTTTTCCTTAACGCAGCTTCGCGTTTATTTGTTTGTTTATGGGAGATTTGATCACGTGATTCGTGAGTAGATCTCCACGCCAGCAACGTAAATTACATCCTTTCTCTGTTTAAAGCGTATCGGTCGCTCAAGATTTTTTTAGTCCGTGTATTTAAAAACACTTAGTCAAGTCATACTTAATCAAGTGATTAGATAAAGTAGAAAATAAACTATATAAAAAACTTTTTAAAAACCACGTTTTTCATGTGTAGCAACGGACTAAAAAGGAGAAAATAAAATACTTAAAAAAAACTTTTTAAAAAACCACGTTTTTCTTGTGGACTAAAAAGTAGAAAATAAATTTTTCTTTTGTGCTTCCTCGAGCTGTGCAGATTCTTGTGATGCCTGACAAAAAACGTGGGTCGGGCAGATGGGTCGGGAAATTTGATGGTGAACGTACCCACGTTTTTTGTCAGTCATCACAAGAATCTGCACAGCTCGAGGAAGCACAAAAGAAAAATTTATTTTCTACTTTTTAGTCCACAAGAAAAACGTGGTTTTTTAAAAAGTTTTTTTTAAGTATTTTATTAAAAATGTACACACCTGCAGAAATTTGATTCGGAAACCATTCCAGTTTTAGAAGGACTATGACAAGCACCAATCTTGCACTCAGCTAGTGTGTAATAGTTATATATATATATATATATATATATATATATATATATATATATATATATATATATATATAACAACTATTTATATTTTGCATTTAGAATGGTGTATAGTTTTAAACTATTGACTGATGATGAACAACATCAACGTAAAGAAAATTTATTTAATGATTTAATATATTTAAGTAGTTGACTTTAATTATTCAATTACCATTATTAGCTTGCGACCAGGTTGTCAGAGCTACAAATACTAGAGGTGAATCCATATTATATATATATATATATATATATATATATATATATATATATATATATATAGTCTAGAAACGAGAAGAGAAATATCAAAAGTTAAACAAAGCCGCGATAGAGTGCACCTAAACCATCGAATGTAGTTAACTAACATTAGCGAATAGTAAAAACTGCTTGGCATATCGGTGACCACGCTCCTTATGTAATATACCCCAGGTGAGATTAGAGAATAAACTCTACATCACCTCCGTTCGTCTGGCATGAGAATGACACCTGTACTTCACATTTAAGAATCTACCTGCTGTACATTTAATTCTAAATCGTTGTGTATTTTACACTTGTAACCTATAAACAAGCTGCCTTGTTGATATTTAACTTTAATGGCATAGTTTCCACTTGAGAGTAAAATTATGCTTAGTATTATGCAGCTCATTTTCTTTTAACTTACCTACAATAGCTAGGTAAATGCCAGCAGTTTTCATTTTAGAGAAGTTTAACAGTATCCAACAGATCTTGATTTGCTATTAGAAAATATTTTTAAAATTTAGCATAAAAATTTATATTATTTCTTTCAGCAACAAGTCCCGACTAAAATTATATTTTAATAGCAATTCATTTAAAACGTCAACTATAAAATAATTCGAATTAACAGACAAAAACATGTTAAAACAATAACAGTCTCTACAGAAATTACCGTGATAATTTCTGCCGTTATGCTTGATATAGGCATATATTGATTTTGTCATGGTTCATGGTAAAGGACGTATTGTCTGAGATATTTTGTCTGAGATATTTTGTTTGAGTTGATTTGTCAAAGAGATGATGACATCTTCTGCATTGGGATATTTTTTTTCGTTTGTAAATGAGTGTGAATATGTGTGCGTGCATGTCTGTGTGTTTGAGAGAGAGAGAGAAAGAGAGAGAGAGAGAGATATCGAGACAGCGTGTGAGAGAGAAAGAGAGAGATAGAGATAAAGAGACACAGATTGGGAAATGTAACACAAATCATACTGGAAAACCATTGGAGCAAGTAACTTCAACAAAACCCCATTTAAATCTACGTGAATTCACCCAACGTACAAGAAAACCGGTGTAAACAATGAAAGTTAAAGCGACATACCTTCAAATGAGGAGCAGCAAACCCAATATAGCAAACTGACCTCCAAATGTGGCTTTTGTGTTTTCAAACTAATTGAGACATCACGTGATTCCATGTGGTGTTAGTGATTCTCAAACAGTTTAACCGGAAATAAACATTTAATTTTACAGTGAAGTTGAGAAACATGTGTTGATAAATATAGGGCTAGCGTATTTAATTATTGGTAAAAAAAAAAACCTTCAGCTTTCCGTTTAAAACATCCAGACAATGAAAACAAAGTAGCTGTTTGGAAAATAAATGGATAGAGGTATTCGTTATAAACTTAGGAACCCCTGACAATTAGGAACTGGGTTATGAATTCTGATCAGTAATCCCTTACCGCCAGCTATAGCTGAAAAAGGTTTTCAGATATCCAAATCATTAAAGCTAGATCAGTGTTTCTCAACCTGGGCTCGATCGAACCCCAGGGGTTCGGTGAAATAATTTCAGGTTTTCGACAGAAGTAAAACACACACCCGACTCCTATGATTCATATTCAGATTTCGTCAGTGCAAACGATACAACTATTAATTGAGTTGAATGAAATAGCATATGGAAGGGATGGATTTCGGTTCATTCGGAAGGGTTAAGAACCACTGCAATAGATTCTTAAAATTACAACCTATACAATGCAACCACGTTTACTTTATTTTTCTACAAGTTGATTCTTTTACCTCATCACTAGCTCTAACAACCTTCATCTGTAAGCCTACTTATTAGCCCCAATCCATATATTCACTTATCTAATCCTAACTTATTGCACAGGCATAATGTGTTTTCATGCCCACTTTTCTAATACCTCCAATTTAAGATCTTATTTAGTGTTGTAGGATTACATTAGCAAACACATAGATGAAGATCAATAAAGTTCACTTGTCTAATAGCAAATCAAACTCTGTTGAACTCTGTCCTAGATGCAGATGTTTTAATCTATCACACCTTTGGTTCAGCTAAGATTGGCTTTTCTTACCGCATCTTCGATATAGCTAATACTGGCTACGGCTAATCCTGTAATTATTGCAGCAAGAACTGGCTACGGCTAATCCGATGTTTGACATAACGGACAATTTTTTTATTGATCTAATCTCATCTTGGTACAGTTGGTATTGGTTTGGTCTTAGGGTTAGGGTTAAACTTGGGTTAGGTATGGGGTAGGGTTTCACGTTAATGTTAAGGTTCACATTAAGGTTCATTTATAGGTATAGGGTTAGGTTTAGGTTTAAGTTTAAGTAAAGGTTTAAGTTGACTAGAGTTCATGTTCCGGTTCAGTTTTGGGTTAAGTTTAAGAGTTGAGGTTAAGGTAAAGATTAATGTTTGGTGATCAGTTAAGGTTAAGTTTCCTGTTAGATACCTAGACAGTATCTGGCTGCATGCATCCTTAGCTATAATGAAAAGTGTCTGATCTGGAAGTAAAAGCCGTTTGACCTTTTGAATTTAACCTACACGTCAACAGGGTGCAAAAGTTCATAAGGTCGCCAGGTATATAGTTGTCATCTAATGTCATCAAATGACATTACATCTAATGTCATCAAATGACATTACCTCCCAGCTATGCAGTCTCCATCTCCAGCTACACTGTCCATCACCTAGCAATACAGTCTCAATCTCCCAGCTATAGTCTCCTCTCAGCTATAGTCCGATATATACAGTCCCCATCTCCCAGTTACAAAGTCCACATATTCCAGTAATACCGTTTTTATATCACAGTTATACAGAAACTTTTTAATAGAACATCCTGATTTCTTTGGTGGATGACTTTAATGTTATTTTAATAGGCTATGATGTTTTTCTGTAACTTTGTGTGATTTTGTGAGTTGAGTGGCGGCTTAAGTTCTCTGGGTGGGTGGATTTTAATGAATTGGTACTGATTAGTTTTGTACCAGAAAAGTCAAAACCACCCCAACTTCATGCCTTGCGTTTTTATCTTTTCAGCATGCTTTTGCTGGCACAATGCCAGCGATTTTGAAGATCAAAATTATCCTAGACCCATCATACTACTAAATCGGCACACACACAACGTAGGAACGGGGTTTTTTTTATATTTGTCAATTATTTTTTGTTGACCATGGATATGATATGTCCAGCATTTTTGTACAAAGATAATATTTTTCTTTAAAAAATTGCCAAAAAAAATTTAAAATATTAAAAACTACAATATATATATATATATATATATATATATATATATATATATATATATATATATATATATATATCCCGGACAAAATATCTCAGACAAAATATATCACGCACAAATGATCTCTGGACAAATAATCTCAGGACAAATGATTTCAAGGACAAATGATCTCACGGATAAAAGATACCAGGACAAAATATATCAGGACAAAAGATATCATGGACAAATGAACTAAGACAAAATATCTCAGACAAAATATCTCACAGCAAAATTTTAATAGTTGGTTGGATGATTTTAGTTGATCTGAACATTTTTTATATTGACACTCATATGTTTTTGTTTACATTTTTTACGCATCATAATTGTGAATAGAATGAATTTGTTAAACTTAACAAACAAATGCAAATTGGTCTTTAGGTTCATTAAGTAAAACTATTGTTTTTAGTGCATCATCAAAACAAAATAAAGTTTACGTTTCTTTGCTGGCAGGTAAATCGTTATGACCACACCTTTCCAATAGTAAGCGATCATGCATTGTGTGATTTCTCGCTGGACTTGAGATATATTCTTGGTTGAGACATACAGAATCAACATTTTATAACAGTTTGCAAATGACTGTTGAGACATGCGTTTGTATTTGCGTTGGTATCTGTATTTGTGTTTTGTTTACGTTTGTATTTTCTTTTCTTCATAAAATATTATATTCTAAGTCCAATGAACAATGAATTCATAATCTTCTATCATATTTTGGAGTAATCAGCTAAAAATGTTAAGTGCATATCTTTAAACAAATTTATTATAAATTTTCAAAATTTGGATCCGTTAAAAACATCTTTTTTAATGCCTCGAAATTCCCCAAAATTCAGGGGTTTTTTTTGCTGGAAGATGACAGGAAGGTAATCGACCTGATAGTCAGGGAAGGGCAGTCCTTCTATAAAATAGAAACCATAATATCTAACTGCAGTTAAAGAAAAAAGTGATTGACATTTAAAAATAGTGAACTTTAAGCTGTTAACGGCTTTGTTTTGCCAACCTAACTATAGAATATAATCCTAACTGCGTTCCAGTACTTGTATTTCAATTTCAAGTTTCGATTTGAAGAAAACATGTGTTAAATTATTCCGGCAGCAAAACTTCGATCCCCGAATTCCCGATACTCTCTCTAAAGCCTATTACAAAAGTAGACTTCGTCAGCCTTGAGTTCATATTACATTACTACTAGACATTAGGTTACTTACCGGTGTATTTCCTTCTATCATCTCAGGTTCGGCTCTTCAATTTACGCTCACTTTCGGCAGGTAGTTTACAAAACAGTCGCCGCACGGTAAATTAGAACACTTTTCATTTATTCCAACTCAAATCCCAATCAAACTTAATTACAATATCCGAAATCCACCCCTCACATCCTCATCGATTGCCACACTAAGCAAAAACCAGCCTCTCAACCATCCTATACAACGTTCCCTTCTATACCTACTCAATTCTTTCCAACTCTTTCACACACGACGACCCACGAGCGCGCTGAAAATATATTATCAAAATAACAATGAGAATACCACCCATGTTGAAAATAACACATAAACTTTTCATACCAAAGCCTCTGACTCAACAAAAATATGTTTGCAATACTTTATTATTAATGTAATTAGCATAATACTAAGCTTAATTTTCATTTTGAAATTTAAAAAAAAAAAAGGAATTAATTAAAAAGCAACACATGCACAGTTCAGATTACGTCTACACTAATTAGACTGGTCAATAAAATTTTAATTAATTAGTCATTCCGGTCACATAACGTTTTAGAAAATCTCTTTATTTAGATGACACGAAATGTTTTATCGCTTTCTTCAGCAGGAAACCAGAGAAAGTGTTGATCACGTGATGCTCCTCTCCGTACAGACTACCACAGTTGGAAGCTTCAACAAAGACCTCATGACCAACCTCCAACAGCAACACTGCGGAGTTGGCTGATAAGAAAACAATTTTATGAAATCTATCTTTACAGTCTAGATAGTTAACAAATGATGTACAAATATAAATTTATGAAAACAAATTTCGTTATAAATTCTGTATTAACTCCAAACGTATTACTATTTTTTTTTCAAATCGCGTAACTTATTGCACGGCTATTGTTAACAAGTTGCCTAGCTATTCTTAACACAATTCACTAACTCAAGGGTCGGATCTAGGTGATGGGATTGGAAGATACAGATTCGATTTGCAATAACTAAACGTCGACCTACCAGCGAGGGACAACTCTTGATTTGTGCTGCTTACTTACACTACCGCTTGAAAACCTTGAGTGTACGTTAATCAGTCAACGAAATAATGAGGTAGAACAAACTTTGGTGACCGCCCCTCGATCACCAGACTCCAACAGCAACACTGCGGAGTTGGCTGATAAGAAAACAGTTTTATGAAATAATTATTTACTTTCTAGATATTAACAAGAGACACAATTTCAAATTTGATTTCAAAAACCAATTTTCCTATCAAATGTTGAAGTTTATTACCTTGCTATTGTTAAATACACCTTACTCAATCCAGGGCCGAATATAATGTGGAGGATTCATTTTCGATTTGGGTTCATCCATAAATGACGCCACGCATTTTTTACGATTTTCACCCCCCCCCCTCCCCTCCATCGCACATCGTCACAAAAGCCTGACCCCCCCCCCCTAAAAAGACGTCACACCTCAGCCTACAACCACCACACCCCCCCCCCCTTAAAATCACATTTGCATTTTTTTTTTTAAACATCGCTATTTTTTTTTTTATCTTGTCTGAACTCTGTCAAAATAGAGTATTTTAATCAATTCCTATTTCAATTTAATAAAAACAGTTTTCTAATACGCCAAATAACGGTTAAAATTCGTTAATACAAAAGTGTGACGACACACCATCTGAACCTCCCCCCTCACCCTCATCACACCGTTACAAAATTACGGATAGTAATTACAGATCTGAACCTCCCCCCCCCTTCTAGTGTGACGTCATTTATCGACGAACCCTTTGAAAAAAAAACTGATGTCTACTTACCAGCGAGAGACAACTCTTGGTTTGTGTTGCTGTACAGGGACACAACTTTCGTTTTGTTTTTAACAAAAGACAAACTCAGTTCTTTTCCTTTATTAGCAGCGCCGTAGATTTGGAAGAAATATAACCCAGCCTGTATGAAATAATTGAAGATAATTTTTGTGAGCTGAATAACTGAAACAAGCATAACGAAGAATAAAAATGATGAACGTTCTAGAATTGCAGAAAAATTACGAGCATACCAAAAATTGATTTACTAAAAAAATTACTATGCAATGCGGATTTTGGTATGTTATGTGTTGTTATATTTATAATATATTTGTGCGTTTTTGTGTAAGTGTGTGGGAAACAATAAGAATTTTTTACGAATCTAGTTTTTTTCTTTATTTATATTCTGCTGTGTTTAAAAAAATAATAAAAAATAAATACAAATTTATTATGTTTAAAGTTTGTGTGATTGGTTGTATTTCTCTACTTCTCGTGAATACAAATGCGATTCCCATAGCATGGTCTGCATTAGTGGCTGATTTTAAAATTAATTTTTATGTCCTAGAAATCAAAATTGACTTCAAGTTTCAAAACGCAATATGCGAATTAATTATGGTAACTTGTGTCTATTATGAGGGACAACATGGCCTAGTGGTAGAGAGCAAGACTTAAAAGTCTCGTGTTAGAATCCGGGTATAAGTCAGTAGACCGTTCCTAAGTCCACCCAGCTACGATGGGTACCTAAGTAACGTTAGGAAAAGCAAAGGCGGCTGGGCATAGTGCTGACAACACTATCCCTTCAAATGCTCCAGTCACTGAAACAGGTGTACTCTACTTCATCTGACCCGTGTGTCTTAAGAAAAGAGAATGATGAGTGTATCATAATCAGGTAAATTAGTTTTGTTAAAATTCATAATCATCACTTACAATGTTGCATCTAAAAACACCAGTAATGTTGTTATAGTCGTCTCTAACATTAGATACAACTTTGTTATAGACAACGACATCTTTCAACAGAACATCCAACGGCTTTGATAACCCGACTGTAAACGCGACCTTTTCTGATTGTTCGAATTTGTCATTTGCTTTCTCTGCATTAACCACAGTCGGTCGAGGTGAATTCGAGTCTGGTAACATAAAAACTAATTCTTTGAAGGCACGACATTGATATTGTGAATTACCATACACGTTAAATGATGAAAAGTTATAAAAAGCCGAATTACAATACTAGTTGAAAGTATGGTAATGATAGTGTAAAGACACACATATATTCATTACAAAATAACAACAAAGCTACTTTGTTAAACTCATATACATATATATATATATATATATATATATATATATATATATATATATATATATATATATATATATATATATATATATATATACATATAATCCGTATTACCCAAAGTGTTGTTGGAAAACGTTTCAGTGTTTGACCCGTTGTTGTCAATATTAACATTAACTGTTGTTGTCGTTGGTGCTGACGCTACAGATGTTAATGGGGTAGAGTCATTTGTTGATTGGTTCGTTTCGTTTTGCGATGAGTTGTTTTCAGTTGTTTTGGCTGTCTCTGTTGAACAGAAAGGGCTATCTGATATTGAGTTGTGCTAAGAAAGTATGTGCAAAGAAGATAAACCGGAGAAGCAAGGAACAGTAAAGAAGACAAGAAGAATTGAAGGAAACGGATAAAATAAAAAGACTGTTCAGATCTATTTTTTGCCCGATTTAATTTAAGAAAAAATTTTCTTCTCGAATATAATATTCTTATATGAAACAACATGGGATGGCAACTCGGGATATAGACATGATTTTTAATCCATTTTAAATACTTACACTTTTTTAAATAGAATAAAATCTCGTAGAAATAAAAATTGCACACCAAGTGAACGCCAAATAAATTGTGTATAATAGTGCGGAATATTATTATTACTTCATAAATTCACATGCATTTTTTGAGAAATCGGAAACAACGAAAATTTCTACTTCCAATCAACAGAAATTACTAAAAATTTGATAGAAGGCTGAGAATAATATCTTTTACTTACAAGTGAAATTTCATTTATTTAGCTGAAATATAATTTATAGGCTTTTGTAAAATTCAAAGTAGAAAACGTTCCACTTCCGGTTATCGGAAATCGCTCAAAGGCTGATAAGGATCTACGATTTTGATATAATACTTATATATAAAATTTCATCAACCCAGCTGTAACGGTACTTAAATTATCGTGTTTACAGACTCACACGCACACACACAGACACACATCCACGCACACATACACACACAGACAAATGGAAGAGATTGCAAAAGTATGTTTTTCCAACTCAGGAAGCTCTAAAACGTCAAGATTTGCAAAAATTTCGATTTTTTTTTGCACGATTACAATACTTTCTCTATACTTCTTTTATACGAGAAAGTAAAAATGATTAAAAAACAATTCTATATCCGGACTGCATGGCGGTGTCATTAACCTTTCTGTTATATAAGAATACACGAGAAAGTTTAGGGGAGATAACTCCCGCTTTGTGAATACTTTATATTATTAAGTGGAAGAAAATCGCGTAGAAAAAAATAATTGCGCAATGTATGTAAAATAGAGCGTTGAATTATCAATTTATAAAAAAACACTGATATATTTTATTTCACAGTGCATTGTCATTGAGTCTTGGCCTCCGTGAAGAGCTTGAAACAGGGATCGGCAACCTTTTGAGACGGAAGAGCCAAAAGATGCAATTTACAAAACTTACCAGTTTTTAAAGAGCTACTAATATTCTTTTTTCAATATTGAGGATTAGGTATGAATAAATAAATAATTATATATATATATATATATATATATATATATATATATATATATATATATATATATATATAATTTAAATAAATACCTTTAAATATGAAATAATATTTATTCATATTTTTTTTAAAAATACACGTTTCGCACAAAACATATATAGTATTTTAGCTTGCTCTGCTTGAATCATAAAATTAGCAATCATATAATATAACTATAATCATTGAATATTTACATTAGTTACATCAATGGGAGCATTGACCTTGCATGCTGTTTGAAAGTTTGTTTAAATGTGGCTCATAACTTCTTGTTTTAGGAGGTTTCTTCAAGCATGCCTCTAGAGTTTTAGTTGTTAGTTGGCTTCTTACTTAACTTTTTATTATATTCATGTAAGAGAACTCTTGTTAGCAAGAATATGTTGACCTAAAGATCGTCAGCACTCCAGAAGCCAACTTCTTCACGTTACTGTACCATCCTGCAAATCTATTCCATGCGTCACATATGAGTGCCTCAGCTCGCGATATTTCTTTCAGCTGTCCAGTTGTGCAGAGTAACGCGCATGTTTTACTAGACCTCCATTTTTACTTGCTCTTGAGTTCTGTGAATTTTCCGCTCCACAAATGAGTCATTTAAAATGGGGCAATTGCATTTGAAGTGAACCAGCAGCAATTCCAAAATAGCTCAAAGTTAATCTCATTTGTTTTTGTGTTGAGAGAATCTACTATGAACGTCAGAGTACTTGCATTTGTTTTGAATTTCTTAAATCTCTCAGTGGATCCATCCTTCGTTTTGTTTGTTGTAATGCTGAAGCAATTCATGCTAATAGTTGCATTGGTTTCTAGATATTTTCTTTTGGACTTTTCGAAATCAAGTAATTTACCGCTCTCCGTGTCTTCAACAAAAAAAAAGAATTTTTTTTAAACATCCACTTCTCAAGCAAGTCATAGGTTGAGTTTTCCTTCCCTTGCAGTTTTACATTTAGCTCGATTATTTTCTTTGTGATATCCACCATGGAATTGAATGTTTCAATTCGTGATGAAAAGTTTAATAGGAAGTACATTGAAAATAGGGCGCACCTAAATATTCTAATAGAATAGCAAATGTTTAATGTTTATGATTATATAATTTATTACCGAGTGTTGCAGAACAATATTTTTATGAGTTTTGAAAATAAAATAAAATAATGATTAATATTTGAGCATGGAGCCGAAGAGCCACATCTTGACATCAAAAGAGCCGCATGCGGCTCGCGAGCCGCAGGTTGCCGACCCCTGGCTTAAACAAAATGGGTCCGGTTGAAAGTATCAATTTATGAGAAATTACAAATATATAAAATAGTATTTTCAGTCACTGGAAGTTACTTAAAACTTAAGGGAGTCAAGAAAATAAGACCTTTTGTTTTGGAACCATCTCATCACAGAAAAAAAATCAATACATTAATTTGCCATAGATATACGTTCTCAAGATACGTTTTGTGTATAATTAAGTATGTATTTTTTTGCAAAAAGAAACAATATTATGCTACATTGAAAATAGCGATGTTCAAAGAAAAAGAAATGCAAAACAAAAAACAATATATAAATTAATGAATAATTACCATGAACTTCCATACAAATAAAAAAGTGCGATTCAAAACAATTGGCGTCGTTCATCTTTCTGTTACTAATCATTTCAAGGCAGTTTTCGTTTCCGCCGAAGTTGTTGGGTTCGTTTTCAAACCACATCGATGTTAGATTAGCCTTTGTACCATCTGTCCACAGCCATTCACCTTCTTGTAATTCATCATTAGCACCAAGCCAAACAAATTCTGTTACGCAAGTTGATAATAATTTTAAAAACAATTAAGTCCTCAATACTTTTTACTATAAATTGGGCACAATAACCCCAAACTTCTCCCAACGGATCTTACTGCTTTTATTTTAATTAGTACGTACCTTGTGTTTTACTTGATCTTAACATGTTGAGAAACCACAACACGGAAGGTGAAGATACTTTAGCCAGAATCCTTTTTGCACGGAAATTCGAACAGTATTCCTGTATCAAATTAAATTTCAAATATATTTTCTAACAAATTAATCTAGTTTAAAAATTTATTTGTTTGTGGAAAATATTACTTGGTATATAAAAAATAAAATAAAATCTGTTCAACTGTAGACAGTGTCGGAACAAGAAATAAAGCTCCCACACCATCCTGGAGTGTTTTAATCAACTCCACAAAATTTCATGGCCACCGGATAAACGGTGTCGAACAGCATCCGACTTTTATTTCTTATATACTGCGCTGCCCTTAAGAAATTTCACAAAAACCTACGCTGTAGTGTTCAAATTAACTCCTCAAAGTTTAACGCCGATCGGATGAACGGTGTCAAACCGCAATCGACTTTTATTTTTATATACCGTATATTGAGGAAATATTCGCAGATACCTCCCCAGGAGTATTCTCAACAACTTCCAAAAGTTTAATGGCAATCGGACAAAAGGACAGACAAACAAATAAATAAACACACACACACACACACACATATATATATATATATATATATATATATATATATATATATATATATATATATATATATATATATATATATAAACCGGGTAGCGGCGTTTAAAACTGTCCGGAGGAGGGTGTGTGGGTTGTGTGTGCGTGTGCGGGGGGGGGGGTGCGGATACTGTTTTTTATATATTTTGTATGAATTACTTTTTAAAATTTCGTTCGGAGGTGAAAGGGGAAGAAACGGTAGACATGCCTGAAGAAAATGTATATACATATGGAAAGTGAGTAATGAAATGAATTGTTATTCAGCTTTTTAAAAATTCTTTATAGAAAACTTTGGAAAAGAAACATTTTATTGATCAAGAGCGTTGGAATAAAACATTTTTAAGAGAATGAAAAAAGGGGGTTTTGTTTTATGTACTGTCTATGTTTATACTTGTTTAAAATAACATAGACTACCAATAACTATTAGAAAAATCAAAACCAAATTATATACAGTATTAGTCAACACAATACCATATTTAATGCATTCGCTTATTAAGAGACTTAAAGTTAAGAGACTTAGAAGATTTCGATAAAAACCCGGCTGTTTAATGGTAGTTATGTTGTTTTTGTCTTTTAAAAACACCTATTTCAGCACAGAATGGGTCTTACCACAATATCCCTTCAAAAACAGGTGAGCTCTACTTCACCCGCCCCGTGTCCCGATAATTCCCGATACGCAACTTTATCATTTACATATTAAATAACAAATTGAATAAAAATGTATTTAAAATTGACTTTGTGTGTCTCGAACCCATACCACCCACATGGAATCAATTACACTATCATCTCAGCTATTAAGAAATTATAGATTTTCGGAGAATAAAAGAGTTACTTAAGAAACTTAACTTACGCGAATAAGCCATATTCTTTCAAATAACATTTTAATTTTATCACAAATTAGCAAATTCCATAGCTAAACAAACAAAGATTTCAATAGCTTGGTATAGAAATATATTATTTAAACATGGAATCAATTACAATAGTTTAGTACAGAAATATATTATTGGAATAGATTCTAGATATAGGTAGGGTCTAGATCTAGAGGGAGTCAAGAAAATAAGACCTTATGTTTTGGGAGTCAACTCACCACAGGAAAGAAATCAATACATTGCTAGGTAGGGTCTAGATCTACATCTGTCTAAGTATAGTTTTTCTGTAGATCTAGATCTCAGATCTAGATCTAGAAACTCTAGATCTAGAATATTTGAAATATCTAGATCTAGAACCCTAATAGATAAAGTATATTTTTTAAGCTTAGGCCGAGAAATCGGTATTGTATACATTTCATAGCGTACGTAGATCTAAATCAAAGTTGAATGAAATAGTTCCTTTCTTTATATTCTAAACGGAAGATGACGTCATTAGTTTTGTGCTCTTTCCTTAGTGTAAACATTAGTGACGTCATTGTTTCATGCTTTCTTTTCACAACTATAAACACTTTTCGGGTTGCATAATTAAAATTGTTTTTCTACATTCGAATATGCCTTTATTTATTTTTTTCTTCTTTAAATAAATTTGTGTTTATACATTAACAACATCCAACATATTATTTTCAACAAAAGTCCTTATCAAGTTCTCCATATATCGCTGAAGGTACTGATGCGATACCCTGTGAAAATATTTTGCGGACAGATAGATAGATAGAGGTAAGATGGGCTTTTATATATTAGGATATGCATATATATATGGTTGCAATTGTTGACATCCCCTTCCCTATTTGCATAAAGACGTTTTTACTTGCACAGTCAATGTATTAATTCCTGTGGAAAAAAAGCATCCTTTCCATTGTAAGTAAATAGACTTTTGGTGTCACCCATCCTCTTGTCGCTTATTGACTTATTTGTAATTCAAAATGCTCAACAAGCCTTTATTTCTCTCTAAATTATGCAGTAGGTGTCACCCCCTTTGGTGATTGTATTAAAGTGTGTACAGTTAATAGTAAAGATGGTTATCTTTAGTCAGTTATTAAAACAGGTAGATTAACTCTTATTAATCATTAATTGAACTGGCAAAAAGCATTTCTTATCCACATATTTTGCAAATTTCCGCTATGGTGTCATCCCCTAAATGGTGTCACCCGGTGCGGTCAGCACCCCCCGCCACCGCCTCGCGACGCCTCTGGCTGTATTGTAGTTCCATCCTAATGTTAGCTACATAATTATTCTAAATATTTAAATTACCTTTGCTTCATGCCAAGACTTATTTGTTGTGAAAAGCTCATAGCAGTTGTTGTCAAACTCTACGGCAGTTTTGCTGATACACGTTGCTGGAGCTTTAGAATACAAAAAAAAGAAATTGCTGCTTTTACATTATCAAAAACAGTAATTTGATGGGTTTTTTTTAAATTACTTCTTCTCAAATATTTAGTGAAATACGCTGAGAAGAAGATTAATTTTATATTGCTAGATTTAGCATTATATTTAGTTTCTGACAATAATTAGATTTAGATGTCTAGTTCTTTGATGATTAATTTATTTAAATACTACCACAATAATAATAATATCGCTCCATTGTCTGGATAATTGCGTTAGGGAAATCAAGGCACACATCTATGGCTAACTTTGTTGGGTCAAGAAGTTGCCCATGTATCAGGCTCCCTTTCTCCACACAGCTAATGGACCCAAAAGACGGAATGTTACCCGTATAGCTTGGGTTCAGCTGTGTCGAAAGGAAACCCGAGTTTGTAATCTTTTCGCCTGAGGTCTCCACTCCTGTCTGATTGAGGAGTTTTCTAACCTAGATAAGTTCGAGCTCGTGAATAACTAATAAATTCTTTAATACAACCCAAAATATATTTCTTTTGCATAAAATATGCTAGTTTAGCATCCTCATTTGGAAAATACTGAAATTGTAGCTTTTGGATTTACTGATACAGTTGAGTTATATTGGAGTTAGATTGTGTTTTAATTTAGATTTAATGTCTAGAATTTTTTTTTATTTTAAAAATCTTAAATGATTCACTCCCTTTTTAATTTTGAATATACAGAGTGAATAAACATCAAAGATAATACAATTACGTAAGCATACAATGGTATTAACACTTTTTAAACTAAATTACTTAGAAATAATTTTTTTTTCATTTAGGCCTACTAGTACTACATGCGATATATTAATTGATATATCCGTACTATAAATGTATGCTTTCCAAATATGATCTGTATTTTGAAGTTACCAAAATATCTAATTACTTACTAATCGAAAAGTTATAACATCCCGAATGATAAAACATGACAAAAAGATTAATTGTATAATATCTGATGATTATCAAATTAGAATGAACACAAAAGAACTTTCCGAATAGGATAAGAACATCTTCAAATAGACTCAAAACCTTATAAATTATTCAAATACCAAATTGTGAAATATATTTAATTCAATTTTCATTTCAAAAATTTTAATAATAAAATGTTGAATGACGTCTTCACATAAAGATTAGTTCACATGAATAAAATAAATAAGCGGAAATCGGGGTTCCTAAAACTGCCTAAACATATATTTAAAAAAAAATTAAAACAATCTGACGGAATTCAGCCATTGATGAACGGTAAAATACAAAGCCAAATGTTTTTTTTTTCTATAACTAGTAATGGTGAAACACTTTGTAAATGTGAGCGGGTGAATGGATTATATATTTTGTATTATTTTATTGTGTGCGAATCTGTGCGTGAATGGTCCACTGGACAGCGGCTACGGGGTTTCTCCTTCCGCCCAAAGCAGTCAGTATAAAAACTGGCCGCTCGGATAATTTCTTTCTTTTGACCCGAGGCGAAATGTAGATCGGGTCGGTTTCTGTGTGGGCGAGTGGCGCACCTCATGCGTGAAGGTATTTGTTTTTATTTTACTTTTATATGTTTGGTTTGTATGAAAGCAACTGCCGATGTTTCTCGTTTTCTTTCATATTCGTCTAAACCGAGATATTGAGCATCGACATGTCTGGTATACATGTGGTGTGTTCTTTTTGAATGGTGCGAATGATGTGTGCATATACTTGATTGTTTTACTTTATTATGTGTTATTGAGGGTTCCACACGATGACTAGGATTGGCTTAGTCAATAGTCGGTTGTTTTAGACAGTAATGAGTATATTTTAGTTGCCTCGAGTTTTAGGTTGTTTAAAATTAATGTGTGTGCTGTTTCGTGCAATGTCTTGTTGAGTCACTTGCTTGGTGTCTGCCTTTTTTGGAGCCCTAGTGGAGTGTGTTAACTTCAATGTTATCAATATGGATGTTGTATAGGTAGACCGATGGCTCGGGCTGCTCCTTGTGTAGGAAAGATTGGTTCTACAATGAATTTGTTTTACACGTTATTTTTAAGTTGCTAGTTCTTGGTTAGACAGTGGTTAGTTTTGTTTTTGAGAATTGCTTTTAGAATTGTAGTAGTAGGAATTAGTATTTTACTCTAGGCGTTAGCTAGATAGTAGTAGTAGGTAGTATTTTGAACATGTGTATATATTTATGTATATATCTGCCACTGCCATGCATTTTATTTATGTTTTCTTTATTCTTTTCTCTCCCCCCCCCCCTTTCCAGTGAGGTTGCTTGTGCAACTTGGCTGGGTGTTTTGTTTAGTCGAATTTTGTGTACATTGTTTTGTCACGTTAAAGTCTGTTTTGTTCAGTGTCTGTAGTTATTTATTTATTCTTTTTTTGGATTGGTTCCAGTTAATAAATTTACTAAATTGTTAAAGCTTTTTTTATTTTTTTATTTTGACTAAGGTTAAGGTTATTAACCAGTCTGGGTTTAGCCGGACTTGCACTGACAGGACAGTAGTTAGTTAAGCCTAGAAGGGTAGATTTTAGTGACCCCCCCCCCCCCTAGCAGGGCTTACATAAAATAAGAGAGGTTGTTTTAAAAAATGCTTATGTGTAAGAATGTAGTCAATCTTTCAAAAGATATTTACCTTGAGAAAAGGCAACTTGTGTGATACAAAGCAGTAAACAAACAGCACTCAGCTTCATTGTGTTGATGATTTAAACTTCGAAAAATTTGATGAATATAAAGCAGTTTTATTATTACATTTGGATTTTTAACAGAAATAAATAATAACTTTTCGAAAATAATAATTTCAAAAATAATTATATGTACTACGAAAATTGGTAAAAAGTAAAGACGGTTGGGCATAGTGCTGACCACATGATCCTATCATTTGCCGAGGTTATTAGAGCTCTTCTTTTGCAGCAGAAGACTACAAACGACGACGAAGTAATCAAGTGGTATTTCCAAAATAGGCTGGAGGATATACATTTTGCTATTGTCAACCTATCTACTATCGCACAAACAAAAGCATGGCCAAACCAAACTGAATCATCAAAGTAATACTAAAAATCAATAAGTAAAGAGTAATAAAAATCAATTGCCAATGCAGCTAAATGGGGGAGACGAAAAAGAAGCAAATTAGCATACCAGGGAAGCGAAATCTACAATGATTGGGGGAGGGGGCATTTGAGGACATAAAAAGTCGTATCAGCAAGGCAATATCTGCCTTCAACTCACTACATCCGATTAGAATATTTAACACAAATTGTTATGCAGTATTACTCTATGGATGGAGTGTTACAAAGGCAAATAAAGTCGTTCACAAACAAAAACCAATAGACAGGGTAAAAAAAAAGCCCGCTAAATTGGATGGATTGGGCATACCCTGAGGGTCTGAGAGTTTATAGATGTATAGAAATTATAAATATGGTCTTACTTTAAATGCACTAATAAAATTGTGTTCTCTTTTTAATGTTGTTTATTATAATTTTTAAAAATGCAAAAAGCGTGGGTATTATCTATTGGGTACCTTTTGTCTTTTTCATAGTTATTTAAATAGTAGTATATTATTACATATTTAAAGAAAATCAATTATTTGATTCTTTTCAGTGCATTATTACATACAAACATACACGCTTGTAATTAAAACGTTTCGTTATATGACGACAAAACGATAAAGCAAGTTAAATAAAAGCTTGTAAAAAATTAAAACAAATTATGTAATTTCAAATTATGCAAATAAATTTCATCTTTAAATAACTTCATAGTAACTTTATTATAAACAGCCGAACAATGCTAGGTAGTTCCGCCCCTGCACTAAAGTTTTATGCCGTTAAATATTAAAGGCCGAGACCTCATTAAACTTTTTAAAATTATAAGGCAGAAGTCTGACGTTTGACACGTATTAGAAATATGTTTTTCTTACCTGTTTGATGATGTTGTTTAGAATTCTTATCTTCTGTCACCATGAACTACATAAGCTTGTTGTGAGTAAGTTTTTACACAAGTGGCAAGAGAATGAATCAGGATGTCAATCACCCTCTTTGAATAATATGCGGAGGGCGGGTGAGAAATGTAGAGAAGCAGGACGTAGATAGTCAAGTGTTTCTATGAAGATCCGTTTTGTGATTTTATCATGTTGGCACCGAGACATGTAGGGTAAAGACACTGGTAACGGTTGAGTTTCAGTGTACTTTAGACTATATATATATATATATATATATATATATATATATATATATATATATATATATATATATATATATAATATATATATATATATATGTATATATATATATATATGTATATGTATATATGTATATATATATATATATATATATATATGTAATATATATATATATATATGCATATATATATATATATATATATATATATATATATATATATATATATATATATATATATATATATATATATATATATATATAGTTGAGTGTGTACATTATGCATATTTATATTATACTAGACGTTAACGGCTAGGCTTGGCTCCAGCCATTTATAGCGATCCTAAGTTTAAATGTAAACGCAGATACGTTTCTTGATTTACATAATGATTTTGGAGAAAATATAAAGAGCACTGCAACGTGCACATATTTGGTCATTATTAACTTACGAATCACCGAACTTCATCTTTACCTACTTTCTCCCTTTCCCCTTACAACCTTACCCCCTTACCCTTCTTTACCCTTAGCCTCACCCTTACACTTACCCTTATCTTTAACCTTACCCTTACACATCTTACCCCCCCCCCTCACCCTTACCCTTACCCTAAGAAACCTAAGTTGGCAGGGGTAAAAATGTATGCTCCTCATTTTTTTAACATGTTATTTTATCTTTTCTTTAAGCTTTCTACAATCTCAACTGTTTTAAATAATGAAAATAATTTGTTTGACCTATTATCAGAAAGTATGCTGAACTTAAAATAAGACAGCCGTCTGGCGAACGTGAAAACAACCTCATAAGATAAGAGGCTTGTGTGCCTGCAATATGAAGTTGCAAATCCTGTTCATGCATCCTGGTTTGTTGCTCGACCGTACGATTGACGCGCATAGTTTTTCTCCGTGTTACCAGAGTTTCTTCCAGACATCTTGAATTTTAAGAGCTTTACAGTAATCCTTAAAATGTATCATGGCTATGTATTATATTGAATAAATGGTGAATGTTTTAACTACTTTTTACTTTCTCGTATATGCAGTTTATAGAGAAAGTATTGTAATCGTGCGAAAAGAAAAATCGAGTCCGAAAAACATAATTTTGCAATTTTGTCCGTATGTCTGTGTGTGTATGTGTGTGTATGTGTGTGTATGTATGCGTATCTTTAAACACAATAACTTGAGTACCGTTATAGCTAGGTTGATGAAATGTCATATATAAGTATTGTATCAAAATTGTAGATCCGTATCAACTTTTGAGCGATTTCCGATAACTGGAAATGGAACTTTTTCTACTTTCAAATAGATAAATGAAATTTCAAATATAAGTAAAAGATATATTTCTCTGCCTTCTGTCAAATTTTGAGTAATTTCCGTTGACCAGAAGTAGTAATTTACGCTAGTTCCGATTACTCAAAAAACGCATATGAATTTAAAAAGTACTAATAATATCCCGCACTATTATGCATATTTTGTTTGGCGTTCACTTGGTGTGCAATTCTTTTTTCTACGAGATTCTATTGTATTTAAAAAATTAATTAATAAATAAAAAATGGATTTAAATTATTGTCAATATCCCGAGTTGCCATCCCTCGTAGTGTTATATAAGAATATTAGAGAAAGTTTAGGGGAGATCACTTCCGGTTCATTTAATGTGCTCTCTTGCCAGATATTTTTTAAAAAGATTATTGCATTTTTATATATTTTAAGTAATTGTTACTTTATTTATAAAGGTAATAAAACACTAGACTCAGCCTTGTTCTAAAATAGTATTTCGTAAAATCCATTCATCATTGTTAACAGCAACTAGGTGCCGAAGTGTGGTTTTGTTCTGTAATATGCCTGTCTACTTTCGAGCTAATGTTTTGTAACTTAGTTATAAGATGGTATTGTAAAATACTATATTTTTAATTAATATTGCCGTATCCGACCCAGATTTTACTTCCTACCTCTTCACTACTTCTAGTAAGAGCTGGGCGTTGTGAGACACATAAGTCAAAGGAAGCCATACAATGCGCACAACTATATTGACCTTGGGCTAGCTAGTGTCAAGTCAAGATGCGCCACTTAAACGCAAGATAAAGCCATCGCATCTAATTGCTAAACAATGGAAGGCGCGATCACTTCCTTTTTACTTTCTCGTATATACGAAGTATAGAGAAAGTCTTGTAATCGTGCAAAAAAAATCGAGATTTTTTGCCAATCTCGACGTTTTATGGCTCCCTGGGTTGGAAAAACATAATTTTGCAATCTTGTCCGCATGTCTGTGTGTGTATGTATGTGTGTAGATGTGTGTGTGTGTGTTTGTAAACACGATAACGTCTCGTGGTGATGTAAAGCGTCAAGATTTGTGAAAATATTATTATTATATGATTATTTGCACGATTACAATTTATCTTCTGTACTCCGTATACGGGAAAGTAAAAATGTATTATACGAGAAAGATTAGCGAAGATCATAAACAGCCGTTTCAGAAAAGTGAAAACGCCCTAGTCAGATAAGCGGGTTGTGCACGAGAAAAATAATATTCGACACTGAATCCGCTTGATGAGGGTCTGGGTGTGTGCGTTGCACGTCTCTAAGTAGTCTAAGTGGAAATGCATTTTTGTTATAATCACACTGCATCACCAAAAAGAAAAGGTAAAAAACACATTTTTATAACCCTCTAATTATAACTAATGTCTTATCGAGTCTCTTGCTCATTAATTAATTAATTCATTGTATTGTTTCGATTTCTAGCGTTACTTGAAATATTTTTCTATCTTTACGCCCTTCGATATTTTTATTTCGACATACATGTTTTATCTATATAAATCTACTTTATGAGTTTTAAAAATGTTGTTTTCAAAAGGTCTACTTACCCCCCCCCCCCCCCCACCGTTTTTTTCAGGTTTTATTCAAGCCAGAATGTGGTGGATCAACCAAATGAAGATGTTTACATATATCTTGTTAATGTGTGTCGCACAAGATGTCTTTTCATCGGGTAATTATCTAATAGACCGTTTTTTTTCTAACAATATGTAGCTCGATTAATTCAGCAAAACGTGCACAAAAAAATTAGCCTCTGCTCATCAACCATACTCATACTCTTCCTACGCTACCCCCAGATGTATGTGAGTCGCTGTTTTATTTGTTTTATTTCTTTTTTTTGCGGTTATTTGAAATTTAACTTCAATATACAATTTAAAAAAAAAATTGTGCAAGAAATAGTACACAGTATTATGAGGCAAACTATTTTATTACTTTTAATTTTATCATATCATGATTTATGAACGTTTATATTTGTTTTGTTATGCAATGCTCTTAGTCTTGTTTTGTTTTTTATTTGGCGTTTTCATCTGTTAAGGGCTACTTTGTTTGGGTGTAGTATTAAACTTGTGTATATTTAGAGTCATTGCGAATATTTATTCATTACCCTGCGAAAATTATTTCTGTTTACTACATAAAACTGCTCTGTGTTGTCCATTTGTTGTTGTTGGAAAGTGAACCTGGTCGAGATTTTCAGTAACAAGTGTTTGTTATTGAGTTGAATTTCCTGGTCACTAAAGTTTCGTACTGTAAGGTCACGCGTATGTTTGTTATGGCAATTTGAGCGAAAGGGTATAAATTTTATAAGTTACAATTGTTGATTTAACTCAGCATACTTGCAATGTTGTATCTTGTTGATTTTGATTATTTGATATATGCCGATCGACTGAGATTGCATTTGTTAGTAATCTGATTATGCTTACACACTAAATTAAATTATACCTTACCAAAACTGGTTTATGGGAAGTCCTATTAAAGTCTGTGTATGTAAAATATTTTCCAGTGTAGCCTTATTGTTCACAATTCTAATAAAAAGTGGTTTTATCATTTTATTATATTTTATTATGTTCCTCTCCTATTTTACTTCCTGTTATGCTTTATAATTAACGAGCCGACCCACGTCGTATCATACGCAGCTATTAAGTTGTTTTATTTTTCTACTTTTCAGTAATTCATAATTTAGGAATTCGACAGTACCACTGCTGTCACTGAAAATATTTGTTTTAAAACACTATCAGTAAGTCGTTAAGGACGATACCCCCCCCCCCCCCCCAGCCTCCTTTCCCCCAACCCCAACCCCCTCCCCCGTGAAAGCAGCCTCCTCTTAGCTACCTCCCCTTTTAAAATCGTTTTAAACTAAATTATCTGCCCCTAATAGCCGTCAATATACCCGGCTCTACGATTGTAAACATTTAGCGTGAACCATAGCTCACCAGACTTCCTAGAGAGGAAGAGAGGGGACTGCAAGGCGCGCTTACAGCTTGTTTTCTAACGTCTCCAAGAAGAGAATTATATATATAGATTAGGTTACCCACTGAGCCAATTTTTTGTTTACATTTTAGCCCCTTTTAATTATTATAGTATCACGATTAGTGTATTTGAGAGTTTCGAGTTGTTTATTACTATAGCGTACTAAATGTAGTCAAAGATATAATAAGGAAACAATGTTTAAATTACTAATAAGAAATGGGTGGTTCGCTATATTATGTTTTAATACCTTTACTGAAATGCTAAAATTTAATTAACGACACACGCTTTTCATTTAAAAGGTGGTTGGTAATTACGTACGTAAAGATACTCATTTATATTCTTCATTTTAGTTCATATGTATGATATATACAAGCTTGTTATTAAAACGTTGTATGACTTTTTTCTAGTACAAAAAAGGATGTTAGATTTTCTTATATAGTGTAGGCCCATAGACTCATGTAGTGCGGACAAGCACGCCTTGATTATTTTTCTTATTTGCAAATTTAAAAGTCTGCTAATAATTTCTAATTAGTTACGTTAACAATCATGATTTTACATTAGCATGACAGTTGATGTTTATGATAATGAATTAGATGGTAAGAAAATTCACTACTTTGTGAGATCGGTATAATTATTTGTCCTGAGATCATTTGTCATAGAACCAGAAAATTCACTACTTTGTGATATCTTTATAATTATTTGTCCTGAGATCATTTGTCATGGAACCAGAAAATTCACTACTTTGTGAGATCGGTATAATTATTTGTCCTGAGATCATTTGTCATGGAACCAGAAAATTCACTACTTTGTGAGATCGGTATAATTATTTGTCCTGAGATCATTTGTCATGGAACCAGAAAATTCACTACTTTGTGAGAATGGTATAATTATTTGTCCTGAGATCATTTGTCATGGAACCAGAAAATTCACTACTTTGTGAGAATGGTATAGTTATTTGTGCTGAGATCATTTGTCATGGAACCAGAAAATTCACTACTTTGTGAGAATGGTATAATTATTTGTCCTGAGATCATTTGTCATGGAACCAGAAAATTCACTACTTTGTGAGAATGGTATAATTATCTTGTATTGTAGTGTTTGTTGTGGGGAGAGTTCTTACTCTTACCACAAGTTATGTAAATTGTGGATTTCTCTATCAACCTCTCACTTACTTTGTCTTGTTAAAAAATGTCACACATGTATTTTTATTAGTTAATTATAGTTGATGTTCAGTACAAATATTTATGATCAAACTAATAGCTGAAAAATTATAGTTCTGTACCAAAGTATGCTAAGTTTATGCTAGTATGCAACTTGTATTTAATTATTCTCACACTGTGTAAAAATGTGTATCACAAGCATTTATAGATATATTTCGCTAACTAATAAGAAAAGGCTAAACATAAATTCTGTAGTATCCGACCACACTATCCCTTTGTATGCTGAAGTTACTGAAACAGATCTAGATCTAGATCTAGAAATAAAAAGAATGTTTGTCATAATGAGACTGACTCACCGAACCCCTAGGGTTCGATCGAACACAGGTTAAGAATCACTGATCTAGATCTAGGCTTATTTATAATTTAGCAATGGGGCTGGTAAGTAGGTCACCAACCAGTTCTAAAACCTGCAAGAGCCATAGAACTGGTTGGTGACCTACTTACCAGCCCTATAGCACTAGGCCATCTACTGTTAATAATAATGTTTTGTTTATGTTCCCTTGCCTAACAGGAAAGTACAGATGAGGATATTATCTAGATCATTGTCTCCAAATATTTTCATCCCCCCACTACCATCCCTCCACAAAATAAATCTAGATCTACCTACTATCTTAGTTTCATTATATTATAATTTTATTTTGCCATTTTGTAAAAGCCAATTATTTTTGTGATTTTTGCAGGTTACTTTAGAGTTACTATAAGATTTACAAATCTGGAATTCACTCCGGAACTGCAGAACAGAAATAATAGATTATTCCAACAGAGATCTAAAAGTATTGAATCTGACATAGAATATTTGTTTAGGAATATAGTTGGAGGTCTTTCTGCGACTGTGCTGCAGTTTGGGTGAGTCCAAAAAAAAACTTTTTTGTTTTAGGCTGATGTTGTGTTGGTCTACATATATTTCTAGATCTATACAAATTCTCTGTAATCATGAGCAGATTTATATGATGTAGCTTGTAGATCTAGGTAACAAAATTAATTTTCAGATTTTGACTTGGACAAAATTCATAGTATTGACATTGTGTATGCCCTACTACTTAAGTTTAACTTAACTTATTTAAATCTATAATTTAAAATCCAGCTCTAACCCAGAGGTATTAAACCTTTAACAATACTAAAATATAGATAAAAATAAATTTTGATGTCATAATTGCAATATTTTGTCTCCAGACTTTATTTAAATTAAAATGATAAAGATATTTTTGTTTGCCTAGATGAGATTTTTTTATCTTGAATAGCAAAAAGTTTAACTTAAATTTAACTATTCTATTCAGAAAACATGATTTAAAAAGACAATGTGAAATTGCTAGACTGCACACCTTAACATCATGAGTTCAAATCCGGGTTCAAGTCACTAGAAAATCCCTGAGTCCGCCCAGCTCTGATTGGTACCTAACTCTCATTAGGGAAAATTAAGATGGCTGGGCATAGTGCTGACCACACTATCCCTTTGTATTCTGAAGTTACTAAAACAGATGAACTCTACTTTATCTACCCAATGTGTCATGGGCTCATACGGGGAAAGATGATGATGCTGAATTGACAACAAAACAAAAACATTCACTTTTAGTCATTAATGTGTAATTATAGGCCTATGTATATAAAGCTAATATAAAAAAAAATATCCAAATGCAATTTATCTTAATTTTAATACTTTAACTTTTTTTGTTGCTTTCAGTAAAGGATCACTGGAAGTAACTTTTGATTTGGGTTCTCTAGGAGATGTTGATGAAGCTGAGATTAGACAAATCTTAGAAGAAGCTTTACGGTCAGGAAGAATTGGTTCCAACACTGTTACAGAGGGAGGTTTTTCTTTTGAAGCTCTTCCCTGTAAGTTTTATTTATGTTATAGTTTTATTATGAGGTGTAAAAAAACTATAGCTTACCTTTTTAAAAATATTTCTGGTGTAAAATTAGGGATGATTAGACTTTTCAAATTTTTTTCTCTGAGGCAATTACAAAATAATATTTTTGGAGATGTGTAAACTGCAGACCATGGAACTAAGGTCTTATTCTTTGTTCTGAAGTATAATGTCTCAGTCTTCAACAAACAAAAATACAGAAAGTTTATACTTATATTGAAGTTTATGTACAAAAATACAGTGTTGTGACTTTGCTACTTGAAAATAATCCATCAGTCGTTCTTAGAAAAAATATATTAATCTTGTTTTAAGAGTTGTGAATGTTGTGTTGTATTTATGTACTATCAAATAGAAAAATAGACAGGCTTAAATGTTGTGAATGAATGTCGTGTTTTCTTTTATTTCTTCTTCTGTCTTCATGTTAAGCTCCTTATTTTGCTGGTGCTGATTTGATTTACTGCTTGAGCATGGTGAGATGATGAAAGATTGACTTGTGTTTTAATGCCTAACATTTTTTGTTTCTCATCTGCTATTGTTTTTATTTGTGTGGGCTTAAAAAAAATCAAGTTTCAAGATTTGTTAAGCTGTTTGGTTACTTTATTGTATCTTATCTGGTTACCTTTACTACATAATTCATGCCAATTACAATTTAAAAGTTAATATTTATATGTTTATAAGTTTAAGATGTCCTATAAACACTTTATATTATGTTAGAAATTTATTAATTTACGCTTTATTCATTTTAATTTATTTTAAAAAAATTATCCAATTTGCATGCTAGATTTAGTTAATCTTTCATTACATACAAAAAGAATTTCATCATTAAAAGAGATTTCAACAAATTGCTGAAAATGTAGAATGAAAGTGCAACTAGGGTTTTGATTGATTGTTTAATATTTGCATCACAGTAACACCTGCTTAACCTGTAAAATACTAATTTCCCCTAACAAAGCTAGCATTTCACATACCTGCAACACAGGGCAATTTTTTTTGCGCTGCAAACAAACATTGCATTGACCGTGTGCGGGCGTGTGATGGACATAAGGACTGTCCAGATGGAGATAAAAAATTGTGCCGTGAGTTTAGAACTCAAAAAGTTATTTGATTGTTAGAAATTTCTGCACATTATGAAGGAGCAAGTTTAAAAGCTTGGCAATTTTAACTTTGCTGTTTTTTTTTTTAAATATAGTTTGCTTTTTAGACTGCTTTGAGTAGTATGCATATCTTTTTAGTTTTTCTTATTATCTTGTATTGTAGTGTTTGTGGGGAGAATCCTTACTCTTACCACAAGATATGTAAATTGTGTGATTTCTCTATCAACCTCTCACTTACTTTTTCTTGTTTAAAAAATGCCACACATGTATTTTTATTAGCTGATCATAGTTGATGTTCAGTACAAATATTTATGATCAAACTAATAATAGCTAAAAAATTATAGTTTTGTACCAAAGTAGGTATGTTTATGCTAGTGTGCAACTTGTATTTAGTTACTTTCACACTGTGTAAAAATGTGTATCACAAGCATTTATTTATATTTCGCTAACAAATAAGAAAAGGCTAAACATAGATTGTAGTATCTTACTTTGCTTTCATAAAATGCATAAGACAACTGTTTCAATTTTCATGCAGTTCTGATTTTCAAAAGATGTCACTGTGATTTTTAAAAAATTAAGAATTAAAACATTAAAAATAAATCAAACATTTCTAATAAGATTTTAAGGTGATTATGAATATAATTGAAAATAAATGTAGCAAGTTGATAATGACAACTGCAAGTTTGTATTATAAAGGTTAGACTAGGATTAGCTTCCTTCTGTTATAGGAGGTTATTTTTCAAAGAAATCAACACAGAAATTTACACAGAAAAATAAATTTAGTTATTTTTCCATTTTTTCCCTTTTGCACCAAGAAGGGATGAAGGTAAGAATGGTAGTGGTTGTTACAATTCTTGTGCCACTATATTCTTGGCGCACAGCAATAGCTAGGTTCAAAAACTATTTATTCCTTAGTATGTATATTTCATTTATTATTTTGGTGATGGTTTTTATTTTGGTTTGCATTTACAGCTATTATTATGGTTTCTTTTACTTTTGATAATATTTACAAAAATGAATTCCGATTGTTTAACTTTAATAAGAATTCTAGCAATGTATCTTTAAATGATTAAGAGGATGTTATGTCTCATAAAAATTTTCAAAGAAGTTATGGCTATTGAGAATAAGCAAATTAAAAATATTTTACTAAGTCCTAGAGTGTTTTCTTATTGATTATTAGTTGTATTTTTTTAAATATGAGAAATGTAAGTCTGTATGTTTACTGATTATTTTAGCTGTCAGCTGTCCAAATCATGTTGGTCGCCTACCTGATAGGTTGCCTCGAACTGATGACAGTGGTGCACATTTTCTCATCAATAATGCCTTCCCGTGTGATGGCAAAGTTATAAGTTGGGAGTACTATAGATTAATTCCACAAGGTAAACTTGTAAAATCTAATTAATGCTTTACTTTTACTTATTGCTCATTTTACTACATGATTTGTTGAAATAAAAAAATGGATTTCATTTACCTTTTCTATTGATTATTCAAATCTAATTTTACTATTAGTGAAAATTTATTTAATGCATGTAGATCTAGTGAACAATATTTATTTTAGTTTTTCAAAATTTTTCTTAATTTAATTCTCGTTTTTTAAATATTTTTTTTAGATTCAATAAAAAATAATTCTAAAACAAATCTTTAAATTTTATAACTATTTTATACCTGTATTTAGCAAAATTGTGATTGTTTGATAAATTATTATGTAGTTGTCTACTTTGATCTACATAAGGTAATTTCGAGCTTCCTCTATACTTAGGCACTGCTTATGTTGGAGTCTGGAGACAGGTGAACGATGAGTTTCTCCTGGTAAAAAGAACTGCGCTGCCGTCAGGTCAGCAGGGTCAAAATCAAGTGGACGACAGTGAGCCAATCCAGGTTAAGCGTGGTGACTTCATTGGGATCTTCTATCCTGAGAGTACACCTCAAAATGTTATTGCTCAGGCTAGGGTTGAGGATGATGCTGTCTTATCAAAGGAACTCTATCAGACATATTATGCTAATGTGAGTTTGTTAAGTTTTTTGTTTTTATCTTTTGTAATTAAGTTAATGACATGTGAGTTTGTTAAGTATTTTTGTTTTTATCTTTTGTAATTAAGGTAATGACCTGACCTCTGACTGTTATTCTACTAGTTCAGGAGCCAGCAATAGTTTTTTTGTGAAGAGCTACTTTGCATTTTTTTCTTAATAGTTTAAAAAAGTTGTATGTTTATTTGTATTTCTTATACTACTTTAAAACAAATGTATCATGTATATTTCTCTTAGTAAAATTTGTAATATTTCAGAAAAAGAGCTGTATTTTGTCACCTAAGCCATTTTTTTTCTTAACCTTTTCAAACAGTGATATGTATTAACATAATGCATATCAATGATATGCTACTAATGAAAACATTAGGCATACAGGTTAACCATATGCCTATCTACAACTTACCAAAAAAAAAATGTCATTTTATAAAGCTAGTATTGACTTAATCCTTTGAGGTCCCTAATGAGCAAATGGCTGCATCTCTCCCCTGGACTCTGCTTTGGGCAGCTCTTTTAAATTGAGCCCAAGGAAGCCCTACAGCCCTTGCTTCTCCCTTCACAGTCCTTCTCCAGGATTGTTCAGGCAGGCTTACTTTTCTTTTCTCCTGTATGAAACTTGATTTTTCAATGAAATAACTGCCACCTTCTCCTGCAGCTTTATAACGAAAACATTGGACAGGGGAAAAAATCAACCTCAACAATTACGACGTACAGTCCACCAATGCAACATTCTCCATTAGAGCAATCATGGACTATGACGGTGAGTAGTTTTACCAACTTTTGAATTCTTTTTACAGCAATTATTTAATTAAAATAATACTACATATTAATTTTAATTTCTTTTGCCTCTTAAGAATCAATTAATGTAGAATTCTAAACAAATATAACCTGAACCACTGTATCTGCAGACATTCCCAAATGAATCTATACAATTTGCTTGTATAATTTTTTATTCAATACTGTTGCATGCATATCACAGTCATCTTTTGGACCCATTGATTCATGTGAAGTTTAAAAATTGTTAACTGTTTGCAAAAAAATGGTAACAGCTCTGATGTTTTTTTTTTACTTTATGATGTTTCAAAATTATTATTTTTGTGGAATTTTAGATTCATTAGCCTATTCATGCGAGCAGAATGAATTTGACTGTGGAAATGGCTTTTGCATTGAAGCTGCTTACAAGTGTGACAAACAAGAAGATTGCGACAATGGCATAGATGAACAGGGCTGTGGTATGTTTTTCTGTTGTGTTTAAATTAATTAAAACCACTGAACCTATCTTCATTTGGGTTGTTAAAATAATTAATGTAAATTATTCGGTCTTTGTACTGATCCGCTTGTGTAATTCTGGTGACATAAATATTGTTAGACATGTTTTAATATAAAAATATAACTTAATTGTAAAATAGATGTCTGAAAGAAACACTGGTAAATCACTTTGAGAACTACTAATCAAGTATGAAACAATTATCTTTCGTATTTGCTTAATATTTTTGAAGAAGTGTCTGTCTCTGCTGTTACTGTTGGTGCAACTACCAGACATACAACAAGACCTGCACCCAGAACTACAACCCCAACTGACACTTGCCTTGAAGGAAGGTTCCGGTGTACTGATGGGAGCTGCATTCGTCGTACTTTAATTTGTGATGGAACCCCCCATTGTCCAGATGGATTGAATGAAGCTTATGGATGTAGTAAGTTAACAGCATTAACAGCAGAAATGAGTTTTCTATAGATTTCATTGTATTGATAAAGCAGACAAAGTAGAGTTCATCTCATCATGTGACCTCTGAATAAAAAGAAATAGTGTGAGCAGTTCCACTTTCAGCTTTCTTTACCTGAGTCAGTTACCTATCAGAATTGGGTGGATTCAAAGATTTTCTATGGTCTCAAGTTCGGGATTCAAACTTGAGACTTTCAAGTTAACAGTTGTGTGCTTCCAACCAGTAAGCTGCCTGGTTCATTGGAATTTATTCAAACAAAGCACAAATATTCAGTTTCAAATAAAAATTTGGCAACAATAGGCTTACTTAAATAGCTTTGTTTCATTAAATTCTTTCTTGAATTTTGAAATTCAAAACTCATCACTTTGTTGGTACAAAATGGCTACTTAGCAAAACTCTTAAGGATATCATCCCATTCATGTAGAGGTTGTAAAAATAAATCTAAGTTTACTTCCTTTATTGTTAAATTCCAAGATTACTTCCTTAGGTATGAACTCCAACATTGCTTCATTAAATGCTCTCTTTTAAAGTGTTAAACCTTCCAAATTTTTTTTTGTATAGGTAGCACATTTTACAGTTGAACTATTATAGACCTGAAGTTTATTTAACTTTTTGATACATTAAGAATCTGTCTTCATTTTGTTTAAAATAAAGCAATATTTTCCTTGTATCAAATGATTTCAACACAAAGACTATTTAAAAAATTAATATTTCAGGCCTTAACTGTTTATTTTTTTTTCCAGAAATATGCAGAGATTTTGAGTTTCAGTGTTTATCAAAAGGGTTCGAGTGTGTACCATTAAGAGACAAATGCAATGGACGAAATGACTGTGCTGATGGCAGTGATGAAATGGATTGTGTTTTAGGTATTTATAGTTTCCTTATGAGAAGTTTTTATATTTTAAATGTATACAGTTCATGTAGTATTTAACAGTTCCAGATCATATTTTGAGATACATGCATGTTTCTTTTCATTTTTTTAATTTACCTGTTCTATAAGCATTTGTATTTTTTCTTTGCACATTTATGTATAGTCTCTGTTGAATTATGTTTGTTTCGATGTTTCTATTTGGAAACGGCTATGTGTTGGTGTAGACATTCATATTTTTCTTTACTAATAGACTTTATTTTTTAAAATACTGACTGAAAGTAAAATAATTCATAAATAAGTTCAGTAAATCTGCATACACCATCCCATAAATCATAACCTGTATTCTCAATCCTTAAAAAGCTTTTTATTCTAGTATGAGTATATTATTTTAGCTATTTCCTTTTTATATATAAAACAAAATCTTCTTTTTCTTGTTTTTAAATAGGCTTATTCCAACAAAAAGATATTTTGGGAAGATTAAAAAATTCAGACCTTAATTATTATATACTTTTTTTTTGTGCTTTTCCAGAAGATTGTTCGGAGGATCAGTTTCAGTGTTCATCAGGAGAGACCAGGTGTATACCACTACAATACAAATGTAATCAAGAAATTGACTGTGCTGATGGCAGTGATGAGATCGATTGTATCCCAGGTAATTTAAGTTAATTTTTAAGAAATTCTTTCTGTCTAAAATGTTTGCAGTTTTTTGGTGTGGTATATTTAACATTTCCAGATTTAAAAGCAGTTTTATTCCTTGTAATGATTTTTTTTTTAATCTATTTTTAAGTATGCTCGTTTGCTGAACTTTTTCTAATCACATGAGCAGAAACATCACATACATATACAACACGTTTATAATGAACATTATCAACTGTTACAATACTTAATTAATGAGTAAAATTTAATGTTTTAAAATGAAAAGAGCATCATTTATACATGTAGGCCTATAGATCCCCAAACTGCCGTAGGTAATTAAATTACAACCCTGGAAGTCTTAAGCTGGGTTATTGGACTTAAATGTGTTGATCATCCCTGAGTCCACCTATCTCAAATTGGTGATGTAGCCATATTAACTCAGGAAAAGTAACAGCAGCTAGGCTTTGAATTGAGCGCTCTATCCCTTCAAATGTCGAGGTCACAGAAACCAATGAAGTTGACTTCCCGTGCCCTACTTGATCCTCTGATCTGAAAGGGCAACTTATACTTTTTTTTTAAATCCCGCTTTAGAGGTGCAGCTTGCTAACAGATATGGTGGGCAGGGTTCTCAGAAAAATTGGAAAACTTCGCAATCGAAAACTGAGCTAACAGAAAAATATGCAATCACAAACTAGTGATACTAATACACTCTAATTTTGTCATATTTCATGGAAATATGTTTTATTATGCTAAAATGTACAAGTTACTCTTTGGTATTGTCTATAAGTCCCCGATTTAAGAAAACAAAAAGACCTATGCGCACTTTTTTGTGCTAAGTTTCCTTTTGCGCAGTATTCCTTTGCACATCTTACCAGACACTGGTGGGCAGATATTTTATTTTAACAGCACCTGGTTTTAACTAGCTTCAGCTGTCTATTTGTTACAATACCTTGATTTTAAAATGAGCATGGCATTATGTAGCGGTATAAATAAACACTATGCTTTTTACCTCTTTTTCTATCTTAAATACTGTAGTGGTTGGTGGTTTACATTTTAAAAACAAAATTCATTCCATACAAATAGTATCTGATTTAGTTTCTTATGGGATAATTTAAATATACCTATACATGCATCATACTGGCATGCATAACAGTTGTCCATTAATGATGTCACATACAGAAGGGAGGTTTGTGGTTTTTGTGACAATGAGCAAACTAGAAGGGGCTGGAGAAGCTTAAGAAATGTGCAAGTATTTTTTGTATTTCTTAAAAATAATCATAATTAACTAAGGGGGACAGTTGGAATTGGAACTTTATTATATTGTTTTAGGGGTATGGTCCGGCCATAACACCTTGCTAGTAGAGTATAAAATAGCAATACCTCATTTATGGACAACACTATAAATTATTTAATTAACATCGCCTTGATTATTAGTTCTGCATAGATGTAAATGGGGGATTGGCATTTGAAATTTTGACATTACTTTAAGCTTGGAGAGTAAGGTTTTTTTGTGACAACAGGGTAAATGGACACAAATTTGTGAAGCTAACTCTTTCTGCTGGGTAGCTGTTGTGTGAAAGAGTACCTTTTTCAAAACAATGCTGGTGAATGGCAATACTAGTACTGGGATCAAAGTTTGAGCTGAGATTTGTTGGAAACTACTACATTGATGGCTACATTGGTGGGGATTCACTCTCTGTGAAATTTATGCAAGATTTACTTTTTTAGAAGCTGATGGAGAATCACTTTAAAAAGTGTGCTTACTTATAACAATGTGTGTGGGTCACCATGGTCAAGACAGTGAAGCTCATGGTTGCTAAACTGAAAGGTCTCGACTTCAAACTCTCTGGCAGATGAGTCTTGATAGCTGGGGACAGCAACTCTTCTAGGAGAGACATCTCCAAAATATAACAACTACTGCTTTGTAGTTTGTTCTTGTTAGGACAAAGGCTATGGAAGCAAATCCAAGAAGAAAAGCAGACTGATATCGGATTCAATGGCCTACATGGCACATAACCAGTTGAAACGTAATACTTAATTGTGTTGGAGGGAATCCCTTCCACCACTAGAATAAGGACAAAGAAGAAGAAGATCACTACTAATTCAACCCAGGCCTTTCTCCATGCCCTTTTTCCTTGTCATCATATCACGAGTGGTACAAGACAAATCTTTTCATTGTACAGCAAGCTGAAGAAGTGACATTATATTTTAGCCCAAATTTCTGAAGTTCTAGAACAGTTACTCTTGTAAGAGGCCAAAGAAATTTGTTATTTTAATCATAACATGCTGAATGTTAAAATGTTCATGTAGATTTTTTAAGTTATATACTTTCTTCATTTCTATTGAGTGCTATCCATTATACAGTTCTTTCAAGCTGTACTGATGGCTATTTTTCAGTTCTAATGGAAATCCATTTTTGAATTAGTCCAGTCTGCTGTGTATATAAGACATAAATTAAAACGTGATAGACCTTACCAAATAGTATGCCAATGGCAGAAATTTGAAATACAAAATGGGTGGATTCCACCCACATTGTATGATGGAGGCTAATAACTTGTCATTTAACCCTTGAAGCTTGCTTGGGATACCTATGCTATGACGGCAAGTGCATCAGTAACTCTCTGCGCTGTGACAGCAAAGCTGACTGTTCAAGGGGAGAAGATGAATATAACTGTCCTTGTATGTTGCTACTTTATTATTATTTTTATAGAACTGAATGGCACTATACCTAGGTCACTTAATAAACTATAATTAGCTATAAGCCACTTTCTCGATGCAGTAATGTTGTACGGTTATAAATCATACTAGCTTTGACTTGACTTAGTCCTCTTTACTCCTTATGGAACATAGGGCCCCTACCATTTCCTTCCATTTCGTCCGATCCCCAGGTATTAATTTTGCAGTCTCCCAAGACAACCCTGTTAAATCATACTAGCCAGTGCACATTTTATATTTTATAATTTTAATATACAGTTCACTCACAACTAGTTAAGCTTTGAGACATGTTACCATAGCTTACCATAGCTAACACTAGTCCAATCTGTAAGTCCACCATTTTTGTCCAACACAAATTACTTAAACTTTTTTTTAATAGGGCAACTCTACTAAAAATGTTAACATTAATAATTTCATAATTGAAATTATATAACTTAATTCATTACGGAATTATGTACAATAACCTTTTAAATTTGTGTTTTTGATCAAATATAATGTTAGATTTATCTATATATATAATTCTCTTCTGGGATCAGTTAGAAAACAAGCTGCAAGCGCGCCTTTGCAGTCCCCTCTCTTCCTCTCTATCACTATCACTACCACCCCCACCCCACCCCCACATGATCTGGTGAGCGGTGTTCACTCTGTTTACATTTTACAATCATAGAGACGGGTTTGGTGATGGCTATTAGGGGCAGATAATTTAGTTTGAAACGATTTTAAACTTAGAGGAGGTAACTAAGGAGGCTGCTTTCACGGGGGGGGGGGGGGGGGGGGGGGGGTTAGTGTTTTTAAGCAAATATTTTCAATGGCAGCATTGGTACTGTCGAATTCACAAATTATAAATTATTGAAAAGTAGAAAAAAAACAACTAAATAGCGGCGTATGATACGCAGCGGGTCGGCTCGTAAATTATAAATAATTAGTTACCTCAAAATCATTGGGTAATCACATCTGAGCATAAGATTATTATATTGCCTATATGTAAAGTTAATGTTTTAAATTAATTCAGAACTATTTTATAATATATTTTCCTCCAAAAAAAATTTTGGAGAAAATTTACTATGAAAAATGAAGTACCTTCATTGTTCCTAAGTCTTGTTCAGTATCATGGTGTTTAGCAAAAACATGTTAGTTTCAATACACAACAAATATTAAAAGATTATTTGATAGTATAATTTTTTTAAGCTAAAACGTTTTAACATACTAGATTTATGCTCATTCTAAAGCTTAACCTGTACATTCGGAGGTATTTTTACTTTTTTTTTAATAAATCCCATTATTATTGAGTGGTAGTAAGTGAAAAATATTATTTAAAGAGGCAAAACATTTAAAGTCTATTTACAAAAATAAAAAATTGGTGATTATGAACCTTATTAAGTGTATGACTTTGGTAATCATTATCATGAAATTAAGTATGACGTTTCTTTAAATTACCTACCTTAAATAACTGCTATAGGATGAGTATAAATGGAAAGTTGATTTTAAAGTATATAATACAGCATGCATTACTTACTTTGTTGCACAAAGCTTCGGTACCTTGTCGATTCGCTGTGAACACGGGAAATGCATTCCTTTAGCACGGCGCTGTGACAAAAAAAGACATTGTAGTGATGGGACTGATGAATTAGACTGTCGTAAGTTTGAACTTTGAAGACAAGTTTGTTTGCTGGCATTTGATGGTGCTCTGCTTTTGGCCTGTTGGTCCTCTGTTTACTGCATCAGCATGTGCTATAGTATTTATTTTTTATGAAAATGATGTTTACATACAGACATTTCATAATAATTATTGTTGAGCTCATTTAGGGTATAATGGTAATTATCATAATTAGTTTTGTTAAAAACATCTACCCATTTTTTATTTTATTTTAAAGTTTTATAAATTAAAAAATAATCAATCGCCACAAAACTGGGAGGGGGGGGGGGGTGTCAATGAGGTATCCCTTTTTAAAAAAAATAATATTTTGTCATCTTTCTTTGTCTTCTGCTGTTTTAAGTAATTCTGCTACAGACAGTCCAGTTCATCAATTATGTCCTCCATCCAATTATGTCTTAGCTTTGTTCATCTTCTCCTTCATATCACCATGCCCTGCATGATTGTTTTTGACAGGCTGATTGATGTCCATACCATCTTAGTAAAAAAAAATGGTTCAAAATTATTATTTTTTTCAATGAGTAAAGTCTGTAATTTTCATAGAAATTAAATTCTCTTGTTCTTGTTTACTTCAGGTAAAACTACCATGTTGTATTTTTTAAGATTGGTTTAACTGTTGAGTACTGGACTGTTATATTGCTTTTTAAATTTCTACTTAACTCTTTATATCTATTTTTCTGCTTTCTTAAAAAAAAAATGTTTACATTTTAAATTGAGCATATGGTAAAATGTAATATTCAAAATGCAAACTGTAAATAAAATAATAATATAAAATAAATGCTTTAAGTATAAGTTTATATTTACTTAAAAATGATTACACTACATTGTAGTTCTGTCAACTTTATCCATTATGGATGTACACCAGAATTATGGAAATCTTGATATATTTTTTCTTTGTACTTTTTCTTTTTTTCTCCTTTTTAATGTTCACTTTTCTCAGTGTTTGGTGAAATTGTGTATTTGATGTACAGTTTCTTCTGAAACAGTTTGGAAAACCTAATAAGATATTGTTGACAAAATTCTAGTCCTTATGACAATTTTTTAGAAAAATAAAAGAACGTCAGATTTTTTTTTTTAATAAGGGCTCTACCTGCTGGTTATATGCAGTTTCTACATAGTAGCAAATTTCTTAGACATCCAGTAATGAACTCTAATAACAGTTCAGATTTATGACATCATGCCCTTGTCAGTTACCCCCAGGCAATGATCACCTAGCATTACCCTTACAAATCAACTACCCTCTCAGTAATTACCGCTTCCTCTTGAGAATATGTATTATACCTAGCCCTACCCATCTTCTTATTCAGCTCCTTATCACTACCCCTAACCCTATAACTATTCCTAACTATTACATATAGTCTTGATTAGTAATCCACTGGTAATGGGAATGAAAAATTTCCTACTGCAGTATTTTGGCAATGGGGGGAATAATTAATCTGGGGATAACACATTCTTTTTTTGGGGGGTGGGGGGGGGATTGGTTGACCCATCATGATAGGTTTTTTAGACAAAATACTGGCTTAAAATAATCATGTGGCAATGGCAGGACAATGAGAACTATAGTAGTGTGAGATCAAGTTAACAAACATACTCTGAGGTTTTCCATACTTATTTCTTCCTCTACTTGTGTTTCCTTTCTTCTTCTGCATGCTATTTTATTTAAGAAAAGTATCACACCATTTAAGTGTGGCTCTGTTTAAACTTGTATAGTCCTAGAAGTCTGTTTCTACTGTTGAGGTACTATTCTCATGCTTTTTGTTTCATTTCTTTTTTTTCCATTTAAAAATTGGGATGTAAAAATTAGTGTAACATTGATAATTGTTTATTAATTTATGTATTAATTTTGTTACAATATGAAAATATAATCAGTGAAAGGTCATGAATAGTTACAAAGTAAGACTAATAATAAAGATGAAAAGTTTTTTCTTGCGTAGTAATGTATTTCAGCTGTTGTCATTTTTTTAAATGGTCCTACTTTTTCCACTCTACAATGTTCATGACTAGTTTTTTGACTGTTAACATAATTATTTTACAGCTTGTAAACCTGGGCAGTTTAAATGTAAAGATGGTGTCTGTGTGGACAACGGTTACGTCTGTGATTATTACCCAGATTGTGAAGATGGATCAGATGAGTTTGATTGTGGTAAGTTTGAAAGAAAAAAATTTTATTAGCTTTCTCCACAAAAAAATACTATGTTCTTCATTATATAGTATCAAGATTAGTTTAATTTAGATTTTTGATTTGCATCCCCCTCAAACTTTCGATCTGCACCCCCCTCCGCACTAATACTTTTGATTTCCACCCCCCCCCCTAGTGTCGGCACCCGGGGACATATGATCCCCCCCCCCTTCGCTACGCCTCTCCTATAAAACCCCCAGCTTGTCCGCAAACCGAAAGATAAATATTATACAATAAATAATAGGCAATATTTAAAATATCTGTGTTTTACCTACCATATATCACTTCATCAATTCACGCATTTATTTATTTTTTCCAGTACTTTAAATTTTAAAAATTGACAATAAAGTTTCATAACTAAAACCATTACGCACCCAATGAACGTGATGACACGTCTATAATAGTGCGGAATAGTTGATTAAAAATGAGAAGTAGTAAACAGTACATTCAGTGAATAAAATAAATAAAAGATTGCCTTTTATCAATCCATGCTAATTATAATTTTTTAACAATAATTTCCTCTTCCACATCCGCACAATTTGCATTCACATTTTGCTAATTATATTATTGCAACACTAATTCCTTCTGGGACGCCCGTAGATTTGCATTCACATTTTTTTTTAATTAGCGTGAGTTTAATTTATTTTTAAATTACCTCCCTTGTCAAAATTAGAATAAAAGTTTTAAATTAATTTGATTTTTCTACCCTACTGTTGTTATGTTATTAAAATGTATCCACTTTTTCAAGGAATCTAAACGAAAATGATATTTGACATTAATCTTTTCAAGATGTTTTAGCAGTGTGTGTATTTAATATTTTCTTGACGTTATGCGAAAAACGTTTTGTGTCCATTTCCCATAACTCTCCTGACTTATTAAGTGTTTCTTATTTCTTTGTCTGTTTCTTTTTGCCACGGACAGTCAAATTTAAGCAGTAATTATACAGGTTGAATTTCTCTTTTACAGATACAACAGAGATACTTGAAATTAACCCATCAACAACTAAAATGATCCCATCAACAATTAAAACGACTCCATCAACAATTAAAACGACTCCATCAACAACTAAAATGACACCATCAACAATTAAAACGACTCCATCAACAATTAAAACGACTCCATCAACAACTAAAATGACACCATCAACAATTAAAACGACTCCATCAACAACTAAAATGACACCATCAACAATTAAAACGACTCCATCAACAATTAAAACGACTCCATCAACAACTAAAATGACACCATCAACAATTAAAACGACTCCATCAACAACTAAAATGACACCATCAACAATTACAAGGACTCCATCAACAACTGCCACATTGACACCATCGGCATCAGCAACTAAAGTCATCATAGATGACAACGTAACAAAAGCTGAAACGTCTTCTAACTACATACTGGGTAAATCTGACTCAGTATTTGATATACATGAAAATCACAGCTTTGTTTTGTTGTAACTATTAAAATGAAATAATATATTTATGTGTCGCTACGCCATCATTAAATGTTTTTAGCTGTTTGTAATATTTATCTTAAGATTACATTTCATTACTTAACAAGTTTGTTATTAACTATCATGTCTTCATTGAATTATTTTCACGTTCGCAGACTCGACATCGCCACAACCTATCGTGCTAGATACACGGGAATCTAATGTCAAATTCATACAACCTACATTGGTCACATTCACAGTCGGGTTATCAAAACCGTTGGATGTTCTATTGAAAGATGTCATTGTTTATAACAAAGTTGTATCTAATGTTGGAGACGACTATAACAACAGTACTGGTGTTTTCAGATGCAACATAGTAAGTGGGGAATCAATATGAACTTTATTTAAATGATATTTTAACTGACAAATTTAAAATTACTTAGATAAACTAATTGGTTATTTAAAAGAACATTAGATAGTTTACAATAGCTAGGAAATACACGTTTATTTAAAAAATCATTGACAAATGTTGACGATGAAAGGGGAAGCTTTTAAATATCGTAAGTAGAAGAGAACTACAATTGAATACTTCCATTTTTTAAACAAGTATTGTTTATCCCCAACCGTAGCTTCATATCATACAATTAAATTTTTATACAGGCAGGTATATACTACTTCCAAATTCACGGTGCTGCTGGCGAAGGGAAAGAACTGAGTCTGTCTCTTGTTAAAAACAAAACAAGAGTTATCTCGCTGTACAGCAGTACAAATCAGGAGTTGTCCCTCGCTGGTAGGCTGACTTTTAGTTATTGTAAATCGAATCTGAATCCTCCAACCCCATCACCTAGATTCTACCCTTGATTTAGTGAAGCGTGTTAACAATAGCCATGCAATAAGTTACGCGATTTGAAAAAAAAGCAGTAAATTTGGCGTTAATCTAGAATATATAACGAAATTTGTTTTCATAAATTTATATTTGTACATCATTTGTTAACTATCTAGAACGTAAAGAATGATTCACTAAAACTGTTTTCTTATCAGCCAACTCCGCAGTGTTGCTGTTGGAGGCTGGTGATGAGGTCTTTGTTGAAGCTTCCAACTGTGGTAGTCTGTACGGAGAGGAGCATCACGTGATCAACACTTTCTCTGGTTTCCTGCTAGGCACCTCCATCGCCAACGCTTAAAACATTACTATAATTATATTTTTTTTTAAATTATCTAAATGCTTATTTGTTTTTATTAAAATGGATAAATCAATACTCATGTTGGTTAAATAATTAAAACCTGCAGTTATCAAGAAGTTGTTCTTTGGCATTTGTTCTGAAATATCTTGTAGTTATGCTAAAACGTATTCTTCTATAATATATATATATATATATATATATATATATATATATATATATATATATATATATATATGGGGGGTGCGGATTAAATTCTCCGGAAAAGGGGGGGGGGGGGGAGGGCACGCACTGGTAAATATATCTTTTCTACATAAATTGTAATTCTTTCGAGGGGGGGGGGGGGTGAGGGCGGACTGGGGAGAGGGGGGATCCTGCCCCCCTACCCACAGAGATGCTTGAAAGAAACTCTGAGAGCAGACCCCTTTTAAGATTAGAGAAATAAATTAGGTGGTAGCGTCTTTATTATCAAGTATCGATGACGTCATTATTATTGAAATGAACTACTTACAGCATAACATAAAAGATATTTTGCTAGGCAACTGTCATATATGTGCAATGATTGTTTTATATGTATTGATCAGATCTAGAGCATAATTATTTACAACAAGCTAGACAATATTTCCAGCATTGAAAAATATAACACAAATATAACGCAAACGAACATGAGACGTAATAATTTCAGAGATTGATTGGAATCTGTTTAATTATCTTAAGGAAACAACATCTTGTCTACAAAGGAAACCAATAAATGGTCGGAAATATAAATCGATATCGTTGGCAGTTGGTAAAGTGGGCGATACAGTCTTTTAATTTTATATCTGATTTTGATTATTTAGAATAAAAAATCTTATGAATAAAGATGTAGGGGCTGCGTTAGACCGCTAACCCAAAAAGCCTCGAGTTTGAATCCGCGTCCTAATCAATATAGCGTTCCTGAGTTTTGTTTTCGGGGGGGGGGGGGGACAAGCACTTTACATTTGGGGGGGGGGTGCGGATTAAATTCTGCGGAAACGGGGGGTGGGGCTGGCACTGGTAAATATATTTTTTTCTACATAAATTGTATTTCTTTCGGGGGGGGGGGGGGGTGATGGCGGACTGGGGAGGGGGTGTTCCTGCCCCCCAACCCACAGAGATGCTTGAAAGAAACTCTGAGAGCAGACCCCTTTTAAGATTAGAGAAATAAATTAGGTGGTAGCGTCTTTGTTATCAAGTATCGATGACGTCATTATTATTGAAATTAACTACTCACAGCATAACATAAAAGATATTTTGCTAGGCAACTGTCATATATGTGCGATGATTGTTTTATATGTATTGATCAGATCTAGAGCATAATTATTTACAACAAGCTAGACAATATTTCCAGCATTGAAAAATATAACACAAATATAACGAAAACGAACATTGGTTGGAAACTTTTAATGATCTTATTGAAACAACATCTTGACTACAAAGTAACCAATAAATGGTCGGAAATATAAATCGATATAGTTGGCAGTTGGTAAAGTGGGCGATTTTAATTCTTTAGAATAAAAATTCTTATGAATAAAGATGTAGGGACGGCGCTAGACCGCTAAACAAAAAAGCCTCGAGTTCGAATCCGCGTCCAAATCAATATAACGTTCCTGAGTTCAACCAGCTATGATGGGTACTCTGGGCAGAGTGCTGCCCACATTATCCCATTACAAGTCTAGGTTATTGAAACAAATGAACTCTACTTCATCTGCCCCATGTGTCTCCAATTATCGAGATTCATCTGTCTAAGGCAATAACTTGAAACTGCTGAAGTTTGCAGCAAATGCAAACTCCTGCCAGAGCCAAATAACCACTATTGAATTTTCTGAAATTTCTGAATACAAACACACACGCGCGCACACATACAAATACACGCAAACGCACACGCGCGCACACACATATACACACAGATCGTTGCACCCTGTGCTTTCCTTTTAGACTGACGTCGGTCCACAAAGAGGGGACCGCTGAGGGCTCTGTAATGCATATGATTTATAATCAGAAAAATCAACAAGGTTAGATTATTAACTGAGTTTCGTTTTTTTTCTTAAAATAAACCGGGAGTGATCTCCCCTAAACTTTCTCGAATATTCTTATATAAAACAACAGGGGATGGGAACTCGGGCTATAGACATGATTGTTAATCCATTTTAAATGCTTAAAGTTTTAAAAATAGAATAAAATCTCGTAGACAAAAGAATTGCACACCAAGTGAACGCCAAATAAAAAAGTGCATAATAGTGCGCAATATTATTAGTACTTTAAAAATTTACATTCGTTTTTTGAGAAATCGGAAGTAGCGTAAATTACTACTTTCGCTCAACGAAAATTACTCAAAATTTAACAGAAGGTAGAAAATTAGATCTTTTACTCACATGTGAAATTTCATTTATCTATCTGAAATAGTACTCAAGTTATAGGCTTTTGAAAGATTCAAAGTAGAAAAAGTGCCACTTCCAGTTATCGGAAAACGCTCAAAAGTTGACACGGATCTACGATTTTGATAAAATACTTATATATGAAATTTCATCAACCTAGCTGTAACGGTACTCAAGTAATCGTGTTTACACACACACAGACACACAGACAGACAGACACACAGACATACGGACAGGATTGCAAAGCCCAGTTTTTCAGAATGGATTACGCATAAAACCTCTTAATTTTGATAAATCTGGATTGATAATTTTTTCCCGATTAAAATAAGTCCTCTATACTTCGGATGTGATGAAGGACTGAGGTGTAATACGGTGAAAATTGTTAAAATTTCAAGAGATTTTTTTTGCACGATTACAATACTTTCTCTATACTTCGTATATACGAGAAAGTAAAAATGCAGTTTCGCCATTTTGAGATCCAATCAGAAATTGAGATCAAGCTTCTAATAATACATCATTATTAACGCTAACAAATTGCATCTTTAACATTGACGTTTATAACAAGTCTATTTTTTGGTGTACGTTTTGAATATAAACCCTGCTGATTTTTGTAACATTATCGAATGCCGCAATCTGCATCATTGTTTTAAGATACTATCTGACGCTCTGGGTTGTACTGTGAACACTATGGCGCCTATGTTATTTTAAGGAGCCAGGGGCCATACGCGGCGCCTCAGCGGTAGTGTAATCGAGGGGCGGTCACCAAAGTGTGTTCTACCTCATTATTTCGGTGACTGATTAACGTACACTTAAGGTTTTCATGCGGCAGTGTAGGTAAACCCGTATCCCAATATTTATGATACAAACACAGGCATTGTTTACATTTAAAAACTCAGTTTTAGAAAATAAGGTCACGCATCTCAGAATACAGAACGCATTGATGAAACCCTTCTTTTATATTTCTACAGACTTTCTTCTATCCCAGCGGCAATGTGGGAACGCTAGTTTATTATAAATTTTCAACATTTTGGTCCGTTAAATACACCTGTTTTAATGGCCAAATATTCCCCAAAATTTAGTTTTTTTCGACTGGAAGGTATTTTTAGAAAGATTACAGGTAGGTAATCGACCTTAAAGGGACGTCCTGCATTAAATAGAAACCATAATATCTAATTGCAATTAAAGAAAAAAATGATTGACATTTAAAGCTGTTGGCGGTTTTATTTGCCAACCTAACTATAGAATATAATCCTAACTGCGATCCAGTACTTGTATTTCAATTTAAAATTTCGATTCGAAGAAAAAAATATGTTTTTTCTTTCCAGTTAAATTATTCTGGCAGCAAAACTTTGATCCCCGAATTCCCGATACCCTTCCTAAAGCCCCTTACAAAAGTAAACTTCGTCAGCCTCGAGTTCATATTATTACTAGACATTAGGTTACTTACCGGTGTATTTCCTTCTCTCTTCTAAGGTACATCTCTTCACTTTCAGCTGGTAGTTTACAAAACAATCGCAGCACGGTAAAGTAGAACCCTCTTTCATTCATTCCAACTCTAAACTCAATCAAACTTAATATCAATATCTGAACTCCACACCCCCACCCCCTTAGCTCATCCTTTGCCACACTAAACAAAAACCAGCCTCTCAACCACTCCTATCCAATGCTAAGTGTTTCTTCCAGGCATGCCTTCCCCCTCCCCGAAGAGAGTCTGCCCCCCCCCTGGAAGAAACACTGCCAACGTTGCCTTCCTTACCTCCTCAACGCTTCCTCACACAACGACTCATGAGCACGCTGCCAATGCTCTATTATATGTTTCACAAGCAAAATAACATTGCAATTACCATCCACGCTGAAAATAACACGTAACCCATTCATACCAAAGCCGCTGACTCAACAAAAATAAGTTTTCAATATACTTTATTATAAATGTCATTAACATAAAACTAAGCTTAATTTTCATTTTGAAATTTTTAAAATAATTATTTAATTAAAAAGCAACATGTGCTCAGTCCAGATTACAGCTATACTAATTAGCCTGTTCAATAAAATTTAAATTCATTAGAAAGTCTTGTTACATAACGTTTTAGAAGATCTTTTATTTAGATGATACGATATTGTCAAATAGCTTTGTCCAGCAGGAAACCAGAGAAAGTGTTGATCACGTGATGCTCCTCTCCATACAGACTGCCACAGTTGGAAGCTTCAACAAAGACTCATCACCAGCCTCCAAAAGCAACACTGCGGAGTTGGCTGATAAGAAAACAGTTTTATGAAAACATTCTTTACAGTCTAGAGATTACCAAGAGACACTTTCAAATATGTTTTCAAAAAACCTATCAAATTGTGTAGCTTATTATCATGCTATTATTAAATACACGTTACTCAATCCAGAGCCGAATATAATGTGAAGGATTCGTTTTAGAATTTTTTTAACTGAAGTCTACACACCAGCGAGAGACAACTCTTGGTTTGTGACAAAACTTTCGTTTTGTTTTTAACAAGAGACAAACTCAGCTCTTTCCCTTTATTGGCAGCGCCGTAGATTTGGAAGAAATACAACCCAGCCTGTATGAAATAATTGCAGATAATTTTTCTTGTGAGGTGCATATCTAAACCTAGCATAATAAACAAGACAAATGATAATTGTGCTAAAATTGCAAAAAAAATACGAGCATACCAAAAACTGATTTGCTAAAAAAACAACGTCATTGTTGACTATGCAATGCGGATTTTGGTATCTTTTGTTTTGTTATATTTATGTAGGCCCTATATTGGTGCGTTTTTTCTGTATTGTGTGAGAATCCGTTTGCTTTTTTATACCAATCTAGGTTTCTTTCTTTATTTATATTCTGCTGTGTTTAAAAAACCAATAAAAGCATGAATGCAAATTAAAAAACAATGTATTGTGTTAAAAAATAAGAGTTTCTTTATATTTCTCTTTTTCAAATGAATAGAAATGCGATTCCTACGGTCTGCATTAGTTGCTGATTTTTTAAAAAATATTTTAATGTCCTGATAATCAGAAACTACCCCAAGTTTCAAAATGCAACGTGCGAGTTAATTATGGTGACTTGTGTCTATTATGAGGGACAGCATGGCCTAACGGTAATGAACTTGACCTGAAAATCTCGAGTTAGAATCCGGGTTCAAGTTAGTAGACCGTCCCTGAGTCCACCCAGTTATGATGGGTACCTAACTAACGTCAGGGAAAGCAAAGGCGGCTGGGCATAGTGCTGACTACACTATCCCTTCAAATGCCGAAGTCCCTAAAACAGATATACTTTATCTTCCCCGTGTGTCTTGGGCAAAAACGGGAAAAGATGATAATGAGTGTATCTAAATCAGTTATAACGTCGTTTTGTTAAAATTCATATTTCATCATCACTTACTATTTTGCATCTGAAAACACCAGTACTGTTGTTTTAGTCGTCTCCAACATTAGATACAACTTTGTTATAAACAACGACATCTTGCAACAGAACATCCAACTGTTTTGATAACCCGACTGTAAACGCGACCTTTTCTGGTTGTTCGACTTTGTCATTAGCTTTCTCGGCATAAATCACAGTACGTCGTGGTGAGTTCAAGTCTGCTAACATGAAAATTAATTCTATGAAGGCATGATGACTTTGAATTACCAACACGTAAAGTAATGAAATATTGTCAAAAGCCGCAGTACAGGAATAGCAGGAAATTTCGTAATGACACGTAGATAAATTTATTTATTACAGTAGTGATAATAAATGCAACACCTTCAGACATTAAATAAAATTTACCCTGTGTGTTGTTTGAAACCGTTTCAGTATTTGACACGTTGTTATTATTATTGACTTCAATGGCTGCTGTCGTTGTTGTTGATGGGGTAGTTTCAGTTTGTTAAAGTGGTGGTTGTGTTGGTTAAAAAGGTCGTGTTAATTGTTAATGGGAACGGTTTAGTTGTTGATTGGCTCTTTTCAGGATTCCGTGTTTTTTTTCTGCAGAACAGAAAAGGTTTTCCTGAATGAAGGAGGTCGGCGTGGTTGTGTTGGTTAAGCACATGGTTCAACCACGGGGCAGACAACTCCAAAATCAACAACTGCTGCCTTGTATTCTGTTCTTGGTTTGACAAAGGCTATAGAAGCTAATCTAAAAAGAAAAGCAGGCTGAAATCGGAGTTGACACGTATACTTTACTATGTTGCAGGGAATCTCTTTCAACATTAAAAGTAAGAACGAAGAAGAAGATCCTAGACCTATATGAAGATTGGCTAAGTTAGACTGTTCAAAACAGCAAAGGGGAGCTACTAAAGAAATAGGGACCACTGAACAGAGAAAAAAAGTTATGGAAAAGAGAAGCAAATAAATGGACTCCCCTGATTAACATTTTTATTTCATTTCTTTTAGATGTCGAACGAAAAGCTGTGCTTTAAATCTTTAAAAATGCAACTACTATCACAGTAAATAACAACATGAAGACACAACGATATCATCTTTAGTATTATTTGCTTAAAATTACTATGCCATAACATGAGGAAGCAATTAAAGATGAGGATAGTGCTATGTGGGAACTTAAAGTTAATTGATTTTGAAACCAGCTTATCATAGGAAAAGAAATCATGAATGAATGGGTATACATTCGCCATGGATATACGTACTGTGTGTAATTTTGAATGTAATTTTTGCATAAACAAACAATATTACGCTACCCTGAAAATGACGATGGTCAAAGAAAAACGAATGCAAAAAAACAACATGTTGTAAATAAATGAATGATTACCATGAACTTCCTTACAAATAAAAGAGTGCGATTCAGTACAATGCGCATCGTTACACTTTCAAGGCAGTGTTCAGCCGAAGTTTTTAGGTTCGTTTTCATGCCACATTGATGTTAGATCAGCCTTTGTACCATATGGCAACACCCATTCACCTTCTTTTAATTTTCATCAATCGCACCAAGCCAAACAAATCTGTAACCCAAGTTTATTTTTAAAACCAATTTTCTGATTAAGTAATTTATACTTTTTAACTTTAAAATGGGCGCAGACACCCACAAGAACCTCCAAACGGATCGTACCGCCTTTATTTTAATTAGTACGTACCTCGTGTAATACTTGATGAGAAACGAAAAACCGAAGGCGAAGATTCTTTAGCCAGGATAAATATTCTTATATTCCTTTGAAATCCACGACAAACATTTTACAAATATACATACAGAATTGAACTTTATATATTAGATATAATTAGCGTTATTTTTATTGGAAAATGTTTGAGTCATACCAATGCTATAGCGATAACTCTATTTTAACATAATCGTTTGTCATAATTAAATATCTTATTTTTCAGCATGTTGTTTATTAATTGAAATATCGACATGTATTCGATATAGATAAATATATTTTTTAATCAATACTTACAGTTATACTGTAAACTGGTCTTGATAATATTTGTAGTTTAGTTTTTCATCATCAGATACAAAAAATACAAAAAACACCCCAAGCGTTGATGGTGCTGTGACGTAGTAAAATAATAGCGTGTCGGCAGTAATTTTTGATTAACTCAGGTCGGTAAAAATATTGCGACCTGCGTACTGAAAGTTCATAATTAAGTCGCGACGATTTAATCTGCTAAAATTCCATTGAACTCATTCGGAAATGCGCAAAATTCCGGAAAAATAACATCATTTATTAGTTTTAATTCTAGTTATTCAGTGAAAAGGAGAAGATTAATTTAGTAATATTGCTAGGTTATGTATTGTATTGAGTAGACCTGTCTGTCAAGTTTTAGATTTTGATTTCTAGTTTTGTATGTTCAACTTTAATAATAATGTTATAATAATATCGCCCCATAGTCTGGATGATTGCGCATCGGAAATCTAAGCACAGAGCTTAACGTGAGTAGATCCAGAAGTTGCCCATGCGGGAAGCCCCCCCCCCCCCCCCCCCCCCACTCACACACACAGCTGAAGGACTCAAGAGGCAGGACGTTACCCGTACAGCTTGGGTTAAGCAGTGCCGAAAGGAAACCAGAGTTTGTAATTCTAACGCCTAAGGGTCTTCTGTTTGATTTCGGAGTTTTCTCACCTAGATGGGTTCGCAATCGGGACTTACTAATAAACTCTTTAATACAACCCAAACTTTGACTGTTTTTGCATATAATATGCTTATATAGCATCTTAATTTGGAAAATGCTGTAATTATAACCTTTGGTTTTAATCCTAGTGTTGAGTTATATTAGAGTTAGATTGTGATTTAATTTAGGTTTAATGTTTAGATATTTTTAATTTTTAAAAACTTTACTTCAAATAATTTCCTCTCCCTTTTTTTAATAAACAGAGTAAATAAGCAGCAAAGATACTACAAGTACGTACACCTACAATTGTATAATATACAGAATAAATATCAAGGACTACAATAGTATTAACAATTTTGTAACTTAATTATTTAGAGATAAACATATTTTAATACATTTACTGCATTTTCGATATGTTAACTAATGTATCGTAGTCAAAATGTATTTTTTTTTAAATATGATATGCAATTTAAAGTTAACAAAAGATCTGGTTCCTAACTAATCGAAAATTTATAACATCCAAAATGTTAAAACTTGACAGAAATAATAATTCTATAAGATTTGATGATATTTAAACCAGAATGAACACGAAAGTCCTTTGCAAATCTGATTATGGAGATCTTCAAATTGGCTCAAAGCCTTATAAATTATTTAAATATCTCATTTAAAATATATTTAAACCAAATTTCATTACTTGCCTATTAGATTGTGAGTACATTTTTATGAGATATTTGTTTCATATACGGGGACATTGCTCTAAAATTTGATTGGTCAGACATTAACAATACTCGTTGAATCCAACGATTTCTTTGCAACTAGTAAGAGTGGAACATTTTGTAAAATTACAGAGCCTGTTTTTTTTTTTTTTTAAAAAAGCTACAATAGATTTTGTTTGAGCAGTGTATTGCGTGTTTCTTAAACATCCCAGATGAGTCATATAAAATTTACATTGTGATTTTAAAGAATGATAAATAACTAAGCAGGTTTGATTATATTAAACCATGTCACAAGAATAGCTTATTTCTAAAGAAATAAGGAAATAAATTACTAACCAGTCAGTTCCATGCAAACAAATGGACGCAATCTATTACAAGACTCATCGTTTAACTTTCCATCTGAAAATATCTCAAGACAATATTCATCTCCGTCTGCGTTATTAGGTTCGTTAGGGCTCCATAACGAGCTTAAGTTGGCAATAGTTCCATCTTGCCACACCCATTTACCATCATGTGTAGGGTCATTAGCTCCAAGCCACACTTTGAAAAGAAAATAATTACAAATTACATTTTAAAATGTATCAATTATTTTAAGCTAAAAAAATAGGCTTACTATCACAAATCAAAACATGTCGAACACTATTTAATAATCTCTAATTGTATATTTTAAATGTAAACATGAGCGAAAGTGGGAATATTTTTTACTAAATGTGTGCATGTTTGAAATCCAAATAATGACACACATTTAAAGTTTTAAAAAATACATAACAATTATTTTAAAATGTAGATCACTTTCTTTATAAAGCTTCAGAACATACCACATTAGTAGTTTAGTATACTTAATATGACCAAGAACAGAACTTTGCTTTGGAAGGTAAATACATTTTCTAATTAAAACAAGTTAATAAAAAGTCTAGTGACAATTTGAGCGCTATGTCCTTATGTTATCCATAACAATTTTAAATCGAGATAAATCATATATTCAGCAACGGTGCCCAAATATTTAAACGTTTATATCAGTATTTGACTATGATTAAAACCCGCCCTCTTGTTTGTAAACATTAGCACGTGGGAAAAAAATCGAGCGACGCGTAGCTCGCCCCTCTCTCTCTCTCTCTCTCTCTCTCTCTCTCTCTTGCCGCGCGCAGTGACGCGAACGATCCCACGTCGCGACAGGCTAGCCTCCCGTATCAGTCGAAAAAAAAAAGGGGAAAAAAAGCCTACACGATGCTCAGTTTAAAAAAGTAGTAATTAATTTTTTGTGACCAAACGAAAGGATATTTTTGAAAACTTTCTTCGGCAATATTGGTCTAAATTATGGCACGAATCGATTGGTAAATGGTTCAAGTCGCTAAATGGTATGGTTACCGAGATATGGGCTAAAAACTGCTTTTTTTTGAGGTTTTTCGGCTTTTCCGGGAAATCCAGGAAGGAATTCCGGGAATTTTTTTGGCCCACAATCATCCTCGGAACTTGCTTAATATATTTGCTTTGGAACTAGTCCTCGATATTGCTTCGTTGAGGAGGAGATACGACTTAAAGCTGCGGACATCCATCCATCCATCCATTCCCAGAAATGACGAGTTAATAATCGCAATTCTCCAGAATGGAAATTGCGCTAAAAAAAGAGTGATCTCCCCTAAACATTCTCGAATCTTCTTATATAACACTACGGGGATGGCAAGTCGCGATATAGACATGCTTTTTAATCCATTTTTAATTACATAAACTTTTTAAATAGAATAGAATCTCGCAGAAAAAAAAACACTTGCTCACCAAGTGAACAGAAAAAAAAATTGTGTATAACAAAAGTACTTTATAAATTCGTTTGCGTTTTTTTAAGAATCTGATAATGCGTAAAGTACTACTTCCGATTACCTGAAGACAGAGAATTATATATTTTACGTATTTGTAAAATTACATTTTTCTATCAGAAACAGTATTTAAATTATAGGCTTCTGAAAACCCGAAAGCAGATTAAATTTCATTTTCGGTTGTAAAGTTGATGCATAACGACAAAATTGATGTGATACTTAAATATGAAAATTCATCAATGTAGCTGTAACGCCACTCAAATTAACCTGTTTACAGACACATACACAGACAAAGACAGAATTGCAAAGCCCGCTTTTTTTCGATTTGATCCAGCGTAAAACACCGAAATTTCTATAAATCTTGATTAAGAATTAATACCCGATTTTTTAAAAAGTCTACTATACTCCGTAAATAATGAAATAGTGAGGTGTAAAACGGTGAAAACTGTCAAATTTGTATGTGATTTTAAATCACGATTACAGTACTTGGGCTAAACTCTGTATAAGAGAAAGTTAAAAAATAAACCGGGAGTGATCTCCCCTAAACTTTCTCGAATATTCTAATATAACACTACGTGGGATGTCAACTCGGAATATAGACATGATTTTTGTTTACTTAAACTTTTAAAAATAGAATAAAATCTAGTAGAAAAAAAAATTGCGCACCAAGCGAGCACCAAAACCAAATGTGCGTAATAGTGCGCAATATTATTAGTACTTTATAAATTTACATGCGTTTTTTGAGAAATCGGAAATAGCGTAAATTAGTACTTCCGGTCAACGGAAACTACTCAAAATTTAAGAGAAGGTAGAAAATTAGATTTTTTACTTACATGTGAAATGTCATTTATTTATCTGTATTAGTACTCAAGTTATAGGCTGTTGAAAAATTCAAAGTAGAAAAAGTACCACTTCCGGTTATCAGAAAACGCTCAAAAGTTGATACGGATCTACGATTTTGATATAATACTTATATATGAAATTTCATCAACCTAGCTATAACGGTACTCAAGTAATCGTGTTTACACACAGACAGACAGACACACACACACACACACACAGACACACAGATATACGGACAAGATTGCAAAATTATGTTTTTCCGTAACAATGAGGTGTAAAACGTCGACATTTGTAAAAATCTCGATTTATTTTTTTTGCACGATTACAAGACTTTCTCTATACTTCGTATAATTGAGAAAGTAAAAAACCGACTTACTTTCTTTATAACCGTGTAACCGCTGTAGAATGTTTAAAAAATATAATTCGTCCCATGTCGAAAATTTGGCCAGTTCACGTCTTTTCGTAAATGCTGAGCAGGTCTCCTAAAGAAAACAACCAAACATTCTGTTCGTTTCGTCGTTTATATTTAATCCTATATTTCGATTTACTTTAGTTTGTTCACATATAAATAGCACTGCATATTATTTGTAATAACTTTTTACTTGGACGTAAACCACATCTAAAGAAAGAAAACAATTAGAGTCAAAACGTGTGGAAGTGTTAGAATGCACTGTGTGACACCATTCAGAGGGTGACACCAAATTATAATATTTTTAAAAATGTACTGTCAAAACAATGTTTTGTTCACCTAACTCATTCAAAATAGGGGATTAAGTACGACACCATATCGAACATGCTAAATTGTATGACGCGGGTAGGGTGACACACTCACTTACCACACCTACCTATTGACAGCAGTGCATTCTATCGAAATACTTACATCGGCTTTGTCCCAGGATAGCGGAGTATCGAACACCTGAAAGCATCTGTTTCCAAACTTAACGGCTGTTGGGCTGATACACGTAGCTGAAACTTTTAATTAGATCAAAATAATAAGTTAGCAATACTCGGATATAATTTTACGCTTTATAAACTGTTTTTTTCAATACACACAGCAGCTACGTCTTATAATACACTAGCCACGGTAAATCTTTTTTAAATGTACCAATATGGGAACAGAACAGAACAGAACAGAACTAAACACAACACAAACACAACACAAACACAACACAAACACAACACAAACACAACACAAACACAACACAAACACAACACAAACACAACACAAACACAACACAAACACAACACAAACACAACACAAACACAACACAAACACAACACAAACACAACACAAACACAACACAAACACAACACAAACACAACACAAACACAACACAAACACAACACAAACACAACACAAACACAACACAAACACAACACAAACACAACACAAACACAACACAAACACAACACAAACACAACACAAACACAACACAAACACAACACAAACACAACACAAACACAACACAAACACAACACAAACACAACACAAACACAACACAAACACAACACAAACACAACACAAACACAAACACAACACGAACACAACACAAACACAACACAAACACAACACAAACACAACAAAAATACAACCCAAACAAAACCCAAACACAACCCAAACACAACACAAACACAACACAAACACAACACAAACACAACACAACACAAACACAACACAAACACAACCCAAACACAACCAAAACACAACACAAACACAACACAAACACAACACAAACACAACACAAACACAACACAAACACAACACAAACACAACACAAACACAACCCAAACACAACACAACACAAACACAACACAAACACAACACAAACACAACACAAACACAACGCAAACACAAAGCAAACACAACGCAAACACAACGCAAACACAACGCAAACACAACACAAACACAAACACAAACACAACACAAACACAACACAAACACAACACAAACACAACACAAACACAACACAAACACAACACAAACACAATACAAACACAAACACAAACACAACACAAACACAACACAAACACAACACAAACACAACACAAACACAACACAAACACAACACAAACACAACACAAACACAACACAAACACAACACAAACACAAACACAACACGAACACAACACAAACACAACACAAACACAACACAAACACAACAAAAATACAACCCAAACAAAACCCAAACACAACCCAAACACAACACAAACACAACACAAACACAACACAAACACAACACAACACAAACACAACACAAACACAACCCAAACACAACCAAAACACAACACAAACACAACACAAACACAACACAAACACAACACAAACACAACACAAACACAACACAAACACAACCCAAACACAACACAACACAAACACAACACAAACACAACACAAACACAACACAAACACAACGCAAACACAAAGCAAACACAACGCAAACACAACGCAAACACAACGCAAACACAACACAAACACAAACACAAACACAACACAAACACAACACAAACACAACACAAACACAACACAAACACAACACAAACACAACACAAACACAATACAAACACAAACACAAACACAACACAAACACAACACAAACACAACACAAACACAACACAAACACAACACAAACACAACACAAACACAACACAAACACAACACAAACACAACACAAACACAGCACAACACAAACACAACACAAACACAATACAAACACATCACAAACACAACACAAACACAGCGCAAACACAACAGAAACACAACACAAACACAACACAAACACAAAACAAACACAACACAAACACAACACAAACACAACACAAATACAACACAAATACAACACAAACTCAAAAGAAAACACAACACAAACACAAAAGGAAACACATTGCCGGCAGACGCGCCTGATTCAGTGAATGACCATAAAAAAACCAGCTTGTCCTCAAACCGAAAGATAGAATAATAATTAATTAACAGTACGTTCAGTGTATAAAATATATAAAATTCAGTATTCAACATATCCGTGTTTTACTTAACATACTTTATCAATTCATGTTTTTTTTCTGTTCATTAAATTTTAAAAAATCACAATAGGCCTAGAGTTTCATAACTTAAACCATTGCGCACTAATGAACGTGATGTCACGTGTATAATGTTGCGGAATAGTTAATTAAAAATTATAATTAGTAAACAGTTTGTTCCGTGAATAAAATAAAGAAAAGATAGCCTTTTATCAATCCATGCTAATTATAATATTCCATAAATGATGTCGTCTTCACGTCTACAGAATTTGCATTCACATTTTGCTAATTATATTATTCCAACAATAATTTCCTCTTGGAGATTTCGCATTTACATCTATATATATGATTCTCTTCTTGGAGACGATAGAAAACAAGCTGTAAGCGCGCTCCCTATCATCACCACCCCTACATGGTCTGGTGAACTGTGGTTCACGCTAAATGTTTACAATCGTAGAGGGGCAGATAATGTAGTTTGAAACGATTTTAAACTTAGGAGTGGTAACTAAGAAAAGTTTGCTTTCAAGGAGGGGGGTGGGTGGAAGTATGGTAGGGGTTGGTGGAAAGGAGGGGGATATCGTCCTTAACGACCATCTGATAGTGTTTTAAAGCAAATATTTTAAGTGGCAGCATTGATACTGTCGAATTCACAAACTATGAATTACTGAAAAGTAGAAAATAAAACAACTAAATAGCGGCGTATGATACGCCGCGGGTCGGCTCTTTTTTTTTAATTAGCATGAGTTGTTTTTTTTTTAATTACCTCCCTTTGTGAAATTACAAAACAGCTTAATTAATTTTTAGTTTTTTAGACCCTATTATTATTAAAATGTATCCACTTTTTCTAGTAATCGAAACAAAAATGATATTTGACATTGATCCGTTTAATATGTTTTAGTAATGTGCGTGTATTTAATATTTTCTTTATGTTATGCGGAAGAGTAAAAACAGTGGCAACTATAAAATAAATTTAAGTCGTTATATAAACAGACCCTACTCTACTACGTATAATAAGACATTGCGATGCAAGTAAAAAGCACGACACGTGATGCGTTTGCTTTTATGGTTCCAAAATCTATAGCGATGACGGATTGACGGAATTACTGACATACTACTAGCAGCGTTATATTATAGATAAAGTAGAAGAACATTTACACCTCCTACATCGACGTGATATACCAGCCTAGTACTCTACTCCTCAATCCAATCTGCATTTTCTGTTTTATTTTTACAACTGACAACAACGTTAATGATCACACTTCCATTGACTATTTTCTAGCATGTTAAATACATCAGCTGACAGGCTAAAACAAGTTAATAAATAGTCTAGCGACAATTAAAGCGCAATTTCCTTATTTATCCTCCACGACGCTTGATTTGCATGACGATCGGCTTGTTTGACTATAATTAAAACCCGCCCTCTTGTTTGTAAACATTAGCACGTGGTAAAAAACGAGCGACGCGTAGCTCGCCTCTCTCTCTCTCTCTCTCTTGCCGCGCGCAGTGACGCGAACGATCACACGTCGCGACAGGCTAGCCTCCCGTATCAGTCGAAAAAAAAATTCCTTTCGAACCTCCGCTCATTCGCTATGGTAAAATCCTTTCGAACCTCAGCGTTTGCGCTAAAAACCTACACGATGCTCAGTTTAAATGTTCTTAATTAATTTTTTGTGACCAAACGAAAGGATATTTTTGAAAACTTTCTTCGGCAATATTGTTCTAAATTATGGCAGGAATCGATTGGTAAATGTTTCAAGTCGCTAAGTGGTCTGGTTGCCGAGATATGGAGCAAAAACTGTATTTGTTTGAGATCTTTTGGCTTTTCCGGTAAATCCAGGAAGGAGTTCCGGGAATTGTTTTGGCCCACAATCATCCTTGGAACTTGCTTAACATATTTGCTTTGGAACTAGTCCTCAATATTGCTTCGTTGAGGAGGAGATACGACTTAAAGGCTGCGGACACATCCACACATCCACACATCCATACATCCATACATCCATCCATCCATCCATCCAGAAATGACGCATTATTAAACGCAATTTACCAGTATGGAAATTGCGCTAAAAAGCTAATACGTATCAAAAAGTCAAAGTAAAACATAATTAGGCTAATAATCAAATTAGACTAATTTGAGATAATATAATCGCTATTTTAAAATGATATTTACCTGCAATTAGTTAACTAGCACCACACAGATAAGTAAATTACATTTTAAAAGGGTGATACCCTAATTTTAAGTTGAAAAACCTTTTACATTAGAAACATATAATTTTAAAATAACTTTACACCCGTTTTATTTAATAAGGTTTAATACTAAAATATAAAATACAGTCTTTACATAAAGACTATTTCGCATTGTCTTATAGAGACACAAGCTAGCCTGTCACATGACCTACTTTTTTTTACTGTCGTCATGGTAATGATGGCTGCCGAAAACGAATATTTCATTGTCATTTCAGAAATATATACATAAAATCGTTATTTTTTGCGTATTATACAACAATACCGGTCTAGTTTTAACAATGGACGATTAGTGTTTTATGCAAATTTGCCATTTGTACATTTGTTTGGTCTAATCGCTGAGAATATCGAGCAGAACATAATAAAAGTAAGCAAAATGTGAATTCCTTTATTTAATAATTAATATTGTTCTAAGCATTTTAAAATATATTCTTAACTATAGAAAATTATAACTTGCTTTTTACTAAACTAGTGCCATTAATGTTTTAAAATCATGCTGGGTAAAAACAAAACTTTTTATAAATAACTTGATCGAGACAACAGCTAATTTAGCCCGCCTTATTTGCCTGGTGTGTATTTGAATGGGGAGAAATCTAGCAGACTCATTTCTGCTGAACTGCATTGAACGGTCAATCGAGTCACAACAACACTCCTTAAAAAACTAACCCACAGTATCCCTGAAAATCAGTCATATCATCGTAGACATCTAAAAAAACGCATTTTTTTTCACAAATCATTTTCTAGGCTGCCGATTAAATCTAATAAATAAAATAAACTAAATTGGTATCAAATTAAAGGTAAATAAATGTTGTTTTTAATTGTTTTAGGCATCTTGAACAATAATGAAGTTTAAAACCTTAGGTGACACCCAATCATAATCTAATTTCTTCACACTGTTATGAAAGAAATCTTGTCCTTCTAGACGTTTAGATTTCACAATGGGTAATATTAATCTTAAATCCAGACCCTCCGCAATATTACGCGTTTAACAATCTAGGCTAAATATAAATTAAGGTAGACTAATGTGGAAGAACGTAGTCAATTTTTCAAAAGATATTTACCTTGTGAAAAGTCAACTTGTGTGATATATAGCAGTAAACAAACAGCACTCAGCTTCATTGTGTTGATCATTTAAACTTTGTAATATTTGATAAATATAAACCAGTGTTATTATTACATTAGGATTTTTAACAGAAATAAATAATAACATTTCGAAAATAATAAATTCGAAAATAATAATACGTGTTATAAAAAATGTGAAAGTAAGGGCAGTTGGGCATAATGCTGACCACATGATCCTATCCGAGGTCAAGAATCATTCGAGCTCTTCTTTTTCTTCAGAAGACTACAAACAACGACAAAGTAAACAAGTGATATATGTTTTGATATTGTCACCCTACCTACAATCTCAAGCAAAAACATGGCCCAACCAAATGAATCATCAAAGTAAAGTACGACTGAAAATCAATAGAAGTAAAGGATAATAAAAATACAAAACAACATGGACTTAACAATACAGCTAAATGGGGGAGATACAAAAAAGAAGCAAATTAACGTATCTGGGAAGCTTAATCAACAATGATAAAGGGGGGGGGGGGGGCGTACGAGGACATAAAAAATCGTAGGCAATATCTGCCTATAACTCACTACATCCGATTGGAATCTTCAACACAAATTGTAATGCAGTATGGATGGAGTGTTACAAAGGCAAATACAGTCATGTTACAGTCGTTCACAAACAAAAACCAATAGACAGGGTTTAAAAAAACGCGCAAAATTGAATGGATTGGGCATACTCTAAGGGGCTTAAAGCTAATGAACTGATAGAAATTATAGATATGGTCTTACTTTAAATACACTAATGATATTGTGTTCTCTTTTAAATGTTGTATATTATATTTTTTTTTAAATGCAAAAAGCGTGGGTATTATCTATGGAATAATATTAAGGAAGAGACCCACGCTTTTTTATATTTATTTAAATAGTAGTCTATAATTATATATTTAAAGAAAATCAATTATTTTATTCTTTACAGAGCATTATTACATACAAACATACACGCTTGTAATTAAAACGTTTTGTTTCATGACGACAAGACAATGAAGCAAGTTAAAGAAAAGCTTGTAAACATTTTAAAACAATTTATGTAATTTCAAATTATGCAAATAAATTTCATCTTTAAATAATTTCATAGTTACTTTATTGCGAACAGCCCAACATTGCTTGGTAGTTCCGACACTGCACTTAAGTTTTATGCCGTTAAATATTAAAAGCCGTGAAACTTTTTAAAATAATAAGACAGAAGTCTGACGTTTGGCACGTATTTGTAATATGTATTTTTTACCTGTTTGATGATGTTGTGTAGAATTCTTATCTTCTGTCACCATGAACTACATAAGGTTGTTGTGAGTAAGTCGGTACACAAGTGGCATGAGAATGAAAAAGGATGTTAATAACCCACTTTAAACAATATGCAGAGGGCGGAGGAGAAATTTAGAGAAGCAGGACGTAGGTAGTTAATTGTTTTTATGAAGAACCGTTTTGCGATTTTATCATGTTAGCCCCACGTCAAGTGGGGCAAAGAGACTGGTAAAGTGTGAGTTTTAGTTTTAGTGTACTTTAGACTATATATATATATATATATATATATATATATATTTTATATATATATATATATATATATATATATATATATATATATATATATATATATATATATATATATATATACCGTTGTGTGTGTACATTATGCATATTTATATTCTACTAGACTTTAATGGCTAGGCTTGGCTCCAGCCATTTATAGCAATGCTACGTTTAAATGTAAACGCAAATGTGTTTCTTGGTTTACAGAATGATTTTTGAGAAAATATAAAGAGCACTGCAATGCGCACATCTTTGGTCATTCTAATTATTAACTTACGCATCCTTACTTTATCCTTACCCACTTTCTCCCTTTCCAGTTACAGCCTCACACCCTTATCCCCCTTACCTTTAGCCTTACCCTTACACTTACCCTTATCTTTACCCTTACCATTACACACCTTATCACCCCCCCCTTACCCTTACCATTACCCTTTCCCTAAGAAACCTAAGTTGGCAAGGGAAAAAAATGAAGGTATGCTCCTTTTTTTTTTATTTGGCTAAACGCGTTTTATGTTATTTTATCTTTTCTTTAAGATTTCTACAATCTCAACTGTTTTAAATAATGAAAATAATTGGTTTGACCTAATATCAGAAAGTATGCTGAACTTAAAATAAGACAACCTTCTGACGAACGTGAAAACCTCATTAGATACGAGGCGTGTGTGCCTGCAATATGAAGTTGCAAATCCTGTTCACGCATTCTGGTTTGTTGCTCGACCGTGCGATTGGCGTGCATAGTTTTTCTCCATGTTACTAGAGTTTTCCAGGCATCTGGATTTTTAAGAGCATTACAGTAATCCTTAAAATTTATCATGGCTATGTAATTTGTTGAATAAATGGTGGATGTTTTAACTACTTTTACTTTCTCGTATATACAGAGTATAGAGAAAGTATTGTAATCGTGCAAAAAAAAAATCGAAATATTTACAAATCTCGACGTTTTACACCTCCCTGTGTCAGAAAAACACGATTTTGCAATCTTAGCCGTATGTCTGTGTGCAGAGCCGGCGTTTGGGGGTGGCGAACGGGGCGGACGCCCCAGGCTACGTGCCTGAAGGGGCCCCGCGCTTCAGCACTGTTATTGTTATCTGAATTGGTTTGTAAACTGATACAATTTTTGCTGAATTCACTTGGGAAAAACGAAATGGGCGAATGCCGACGTTGTTGATTGTTATAACTGAGGCCCCGGTTGATGCTAGTGAGTTATCACCCACCTAAACTGGGACAGACCGTAAATTATAGTGTCACACACCTCCCTGTGTGAAGGGTACAGTCGCCTTGCATTTGACCTGAGGTGACTGGAGTTGGAAGGACTCGAATTAGCGCCCGACCAGAGCAGGGAGGAACATTTGGAAAACACGTAATCGGATACCCTATTGTATGCGGCCCGATGAAGACGTTTTGTAGTAAACAGACGGGATGCTTGTAGTAGACAGTTAGTGAACGCTAGTCCTGACTTTCTTGTTGTAGTTGCCATATATGTAGGCCTACTTGTCTTGGTATAACAAAATTAACAGTCAGTGGCTGGCATAGGGGGTGGGAGGAGGGCATAGGGATGGGGTGGGGGATCCACATCAGGGGAGGGGGACATCCAACAGAGTGATTTTTTTTTTGGAAGGAAGTAAAATTGTTATGTTGTGTCATCTTAAAGATTCATCCGTTCCCAAAGTGAATTATTAATTTACCGAATTCATTCAAATTGTTATATACAATCGTTTCCAATGGTGCTGACATAATATAGTCATCGAATTGTCCGCGTCGCACAACGTTTTTCGAGGAATGGGCATCGTTGAAGGGCTGTAATATGGTAGTCATTAATAAACGCACATTGTTTAAACTGCAGGATATCCTTTACAATAGTTAAGTCAATAATGATTTTGGTTTTAAAGTATTGTATGGATTCCAAACAAATTTTGAAAACTATACTGTTTTGATACCTTGGGCCGAGTTCACTTTATTGTAAAGTTGTCCTGATTTCTCACACGTCTAAAGTACCGGCATTCACGGCAGCCCGAACAAGCCGTCGGGAAACTCATAAATAAGGTGTAGCTGGATGTCACGTCGTTTTCTCCCTAATTGTAGTCACGAACCATCCCTTGTGAGACCGCGATCATGGCCTGTGATGTAATACCTGGGCGCTCTATAAACATAAACCTTCTCCGGTCAGAGATCCAGTAACGTAGTACTCGAATTTGGAGATTTTTTTTAGGGTTTGGCAACCCAAGGCATAGATTTAACTGCCACCCACCCCAAAGCTCCACCCTATTTTTGAGAATCCTTTCTTTTGGATATCCATAAACATAGAGTAGGTTTTCACGATTCGTAACCAGTGTTAATTCATGATTCGAGCTAAGTCCAAAACCTATCGTTTTTTTCTATTTGTTTTAACTTTAATTACTCTTGTTTTGTTATTATTATAATTTGTCTAAAATTATGCGCTTACAGTCTCTTCTTTAAATACACCTAAAACGCTTGACTTTTATATTAAATATTGGTCATTAACAAACATTTTAAACAACTTTGTCCTAATTTTTTTGGCATGTCATTGAGTTTCCTTGAGTGTTTGGTATGGATTTCATAGCTGTCAAAAGTGATTTAATATCTTAGCAAAAAAACCAAACAAACTAAGAACATTTGGTAAAACTTGGGAAAGGTAAACATCCGTTATTAAAGTGAGAAGTTTAGCATTAGCTTATAGACTCCAAAATATTTAGCTGTTATTATGTGTGCATGTATAATGTATATATATATATATATATATATATATATATATATATATATATATATATATATATATATATATATATATATATATATATTATATATATAATGGAAAAAAGCAGGCAGAGCCGGCGTTAGGGGGTTGGCAAACGGGGCAGTCGCCCCAGTCCCCACGCTTGAAGAGCCCCGCGCTTCAGCACCGCCATTGTTGTCTGAATTAGTTTGTAAACTTAAATAATCTTTGCTGAATTAAATTAAAAAAAAAAAACTAAATGGCCGAAATTGTTGGATGTTAAAACTGAGGCAAAGGCTGATGTTAGTGAGTTATCCTCTACATGGACTGGGACAGATCGTTATTCTAAAGAAAGACATTAGTGTCACACATTGCTGGCACGGTCGACTCGCAATTGTCCTGAGGTGACTGGAGATGGCGGTCGCGAATTAGCCCCGACCTGTCATGAGAGGTAAAATCGGGAAAACACCGTTGAAGACGTTTTTGTTTTAGTGAGCAGGCGGGGTGCCTGTAGTAAACAGTCAGTGACCTGATGATGGCTTGCAGAGGAGGGGGGAGGGGGAGAGGGGATGGGGTATCCAAAGTATTTATCCCTAAAATCATAATTTATACACTGTATGGGCATCTTGTGTGTAATTATGCTTATTCGCCACGACACGTTTGATAGGCATCCATACAGTAATTATGTTCATATTCTTTTTTTTCATTGTCAGGTCAGCTTTAAATACATTATACTTCAGTAATACTTGTATTTATTTTTATATTTTTGAAGGGAATGTATACAGTAATTATGTCCATTTTCATTTTGGTAAACTTTAACGGTATTCGTAAAGTGATTAAGTACATGTTTATTTTAATTAATTGTAGGGATATTCAGTATAATAGTTAAGGCCTTAGTGATTCTTGTTTTAAAATAGTGTAGGCATACTAAACAAATTATAAAGTCTATACTGTTTGATGCATCGAGCCGAGACTGTTTTATAATAAAGTTCTCCTGATTTCTCAAACGTCTAAATTACCGGCAGTCCGAGCATGCCGTCGCGAAACTCATAAATAAGGTGAAGCTGGCTGTCAAATGGTTAACTTTCTAATAATAGGCACGAACCTTCTCTTGTGAGAACGCGGTCTTAACCTGTAATGTAATACGTGGACGCTCTATAAACACGCACCTTCTCTTGAATGGCTGCGGTCAGAGATCCAGTAACGTAGTACCCGAACCGAATTTTTTTTAGGGTTTGGCATCCCATAGATTTAAATGTACAGTTATCCTTTACCTCACCCCACCAACTGTCACGCACCCTAGTGTTCCACCCTACTGAGCGTCCGCGATTACATTTGAGAGTCATTTTATTTGGATATCTATAGCCGTAAACAGTGTTTTTCACGATTCGAGCTTATTCCGAAATCTATCAATGCTTTTCTATTTTCCTCGGCATCCACATACTCTGCACACTAGTGCACACCACTGTTAACACTCGATAAATTGAGAAAATATCGATATAATCATGATGATATAATCATTGCATTTTCCTCACGTAAGGCAAGAAAAGTAAATCTTCGTTTGTGAACGTACTGGTAAGATTTTCACAAATAAACATTAATGTTAAAAATAAGGTTTGAAGCTGACGTTCATCGTCTCTTTAATGCGTGTCTCAAACTTATATTTGTTTTATTTTTTACTTTTCAAACAGAAAACCTTAACAGAAACAAGCGACGTTTCAAAAGCACTTCGAAGTAAAAACATTATTTGTTAATCTGTGTCTTTATGTTAATACGACAATGATAAGCAGCTTAAAAATACCATATATATCGTTATAAATATTAATTCGCGTTGTGAAGAAGAAAAAACGCTACACTGTACATGTTTTAAACACCAATGGGAAAATATAAGGCCCCGCTCGGATGGTTGGCCATAGGCCCCGCGTACCCCTAACGCCGGCTCTGTCTGTGTGTGTGTATGTGTGTGTATGTGTGTGTGACTGTAAACAAAATAACTTGAGTACCGTTATAGCTAGATCGTAGATCAGTGTCAGCTTT